AATTATAAAAAATATGACATGTTTTTCTTAAAATATCATAATCATCTTTCTTAATATTTTTTCTCTTTTACTTACTTGATTATAGTTGAGAGAGTATCTGAAGGAATATAACAGGAACAATGTCATCCTATTCTATCAACAAACACAAACATCTGCTACGTCAAACCTTAAGCCAAATATAATTCCATGTGGGCATGACTATGCTTTCTTTTATACTCATTTTTGTCTCAAAGTTTTCACCAAAAACCAATATTACCTCGGAAGTGTCCAGGAAAAAACAGCATCCAAATTTGATGGCAAAATGAAAATAGAGCATACAAAAAGCTGTTGAAGATGCACAACCAAGTACTACCTTCGTTTTTTAATATAAGAATTAGTTGACTAATTTGAGTAGATTAAAAAAGTTTATTAAGTTAGTTATGTATAATAAATATATGTTGTCATCTCTAAAATATTTTCATTAATCATGTGTATTAGTTAGAACTATTATTTGATAAAATTTTTAACATGTGCAAGTACTATAGAAACAACTTTAAAAAAATAAATAAATATGACAAACAAGGTAGATTTGAGGTCTTATATTAAAAAATATATTAAATATCAAATTAATTCTTATATTAATGATAAAAGTAGTTAATGACAAATACGATGAATAGCATACATGTAGCGTTAATCTATTCCCTTCTTATTTGAGCATCACCATTGAATGCGTCAAAGTCAAATATGAACTCCAACTCTTATGATTTAACTCGATAAACTTTTGCATACGTATAATTCTGATTTACTTATTTTTTGGGTATTACCGTGAGTATCACAAATACACGAGCACTACCATGCGCTTTTGCCTTGCGAGATGTTTAAATTTAGATATCATACCAAATAAAATATTGGAAAAATGACAAAAAATTATGCTTAAATTTAGAAATCCCAAATAATTATTCATAATGAAAATTTCTTTTTATTTATACATAACTAATTAGAGATTTTTAAATTTACTAAATTGATCATATTGCCCTAAGTAATTTATAAAAGAAAGAAAGAAGAGTAGAGATAGGTTAACAACTCCTTCAACACATTTAACAAATTCTTCAACATTATTAACAAATTTGTTGTCACCTTTAGCAACGGGCTTTTCAGGAAAGTAAAAACATGGAACTTTTATAGTTTTAGTAATACTGTTAATAAGTCATGTAACTATATTAATAATTCATGTAATGCTATTAATCATGTGATTTGAGAGCTTTCTACATTTAGAGAGATTAGTCATAGCATCATAAATGAAGAATTTTACAACTCTTGTGGTTTGATTAACAAGTTTGTTATTGCCTTTAATAGCAAGCTTTCCAAGAAATTAAAAGTGAGGCACTTTCATAATGTCAATAATGCTGTTAATAAATTGTATAATAATATTAACAACTTACGTAATACAAACCACGTGATCTAAGAGGTTTTTGCACTTAGAGAGATTAACCATGACATCACCAATGAGAAATGTTAGCCTTTTACGATACAGTTAACTAGTTGTTTGACGCTACCAATAAATTTATTATCACTCTTGACAACAAGATTTATAGGGAATTAAAGTAGCACTTGACAACTCCAATAATATATCGTTTGAGACGAATTTGTTAATAACGTTAAAGAATTTAATAACCGCATTAAAAAGAATTATTCACCTATTGCGTTTGCTTCTCTTTTTTTCTTTTAAAAATTACTCAGGATAATAGGGTCATTTTAATAAATTTAAAAATTCCTCACTGGCCATGTATGATTACAAAGAAATTTTGTCTTATTTTTCCAATATTCAAACACAAATTAAAGTTCAGGTTGGAAAAAAACACACGAACACACAAATTAAAGCCGTGATCCAGCGCGAGTGTCCCGAATGGAGTCCAACACATCAGCCAGCACCTGCATGCGGTTCTGAGCGTACACGTGTCCCTCCCAACCCCTTTTAACTAAGCCCTCGCCTAGTTCAATCGCAGCCTTCAGCGTCTCCTCGGCGTTATCGTGAGCGGAATCGATGATACCAATCTCCACCGCTCGCTTCGCCGTGACCTTAGCAGCTTTCATGATCAATTCACGGCGAGCCGCCGGTGACCCGATCTTGGCCTTGAGAATTGCCATGAACCAAGGCGGAAGGACAAGCTTGATGTCGAGCTCGCTCATGTAGAGAAAGCCCCTATCGCTCCTCATCAAGACGTAATCGTGGCTCAAGGCGAGGATACAGCCAGCGGCGGAGGCGTGTCCGGACACGGCGGAGATCGTAGGCATCGGGAGTGAAATTAGATCCGTGACCACCGACCGGAGCAAGGAGTCCATGAGAAGCTTGCGGTCTTTGAACGACCGAGCTTCGGCCCAGGCGAGATCGTAGCCGTTGGAGAAGAATTTACCGTGCGCGGTGGTGACGAGAGCGGAAGAGGAGGATGCTTCAGATCGGACACGGCGGAGAGCGGAGCGAATAGCATTGAGAAGAGTAGGGTTAAGCCTGTGCTCGTCGGTGCCGGTTAGTGTTAAGATGAAGATGTTGCCCCTCTTCTCCAACGAGCACATTCTCTTTCCTTTTTTTCTGGGTTCTCAGATTATCCTGCTTTGATTGCGAAAGAGAAGAAAGAATCGGGTATTATTAACTGCAAAATGCGAGGGTGAAAGGTCAAAGTTGCCAGTCCGGCTCCAATTCGTAGACGGCGTCGTTAATAAATTCATCCAGTCAACACTTCCACATGTACGGATTTTCTAATTGGACAGTTTTGAATGAGTTATCCAAGACATGAATAAAAAATCCAATGTCACTGTCATATTGGATAAGTGGAACCGGCTGCAAATCAAAATATTCACAGCTTAATTTCTTTAAAATAGAATTTTTTTTTCAAATATTTATATGTTGTTACTACCTCCGGTCCTAATTATAAGAGCTAGTTGATTAATTTGAGGAGATTAATGAAATAAGTTGAATTAGTTATTTGTCATAAATAGATGTTGTCTTTTCTAAAATATCCTTGCTAATCAAGTGTATTGGTTAGAACTATCATTGTTGAAGGGCTATTTTAAAAAATATATATAAATATGAGAGACAAAATGGATTGGAGTCTTATATTTAGGATCAAAATAAAAGTCAAATAGAATCTTATATTAAGGATTGGAGGTAGTATCATCGAATTTCTTTTACACCAAGAGTGTTTGGATTAACTTATCAAAAATAATTTTACAAATTTTAAAATAAGCATGAGTTTTATTTTGAATTACATGAAAGTCTGGAGGATTCGTAATCTTTGGAATTTTTTAAAGGAGGTGTCAAATTTCTAACATTACTTGACATACGATACAATTAGTACGATAATAGATACTATAAAAACTGAAAAAAGGTAGATTTGTTTCTCTTTATTCCTTTCCATTTGACAGAGGAACAACAAACACATGTCCAAGAAGAAACCTGAACAAAACCATATGAAAAGAGACTGCATGAAGCAGGGTGAAAATGAACCAATAGGGCAATACCCATACGATGATTTCTTCGGCCAACGGTATCATCTTTGCAATTTTCTCCTTTATGAAGAGAATCAGCCACTAAAACCTGTTGATGGTGATGTTACAAGCTATCTATTGGATTAATGGACTCCATCCCTCTTCTTCCACTAGCTGCTAAGAATTTAGCAGCCTTATTCCCTTGTTTAGCTATCCAGAAATAATCAAGACCAGGCCTTCTCTTAATTAAAACAATAATACCAGATAAGATTGCTGAACTCTGTCACTCCACTTTTCTAAAGCAAATACTAAAGTTGCTGAAATTGTTACTAGACTAAAGGGGTGTTTGGATAGAAACCTAACAATGGTTTCAGAAGTGTTTTTACGGATTACGAAGTAAATATGTGAAGGAGGTTACCTCGTTTTGCGAAAAAGTGATTCTGAAACCGTGGTTTTGGTTTTGCCAAATACCCCTTAAATAGCTTCTATGCAGGCATGATTGACAAATTAGCTTCTAGTAGAAATATTTTAAAAACAAAACATATCGCGTGATTGGAAAAGTTAACATAAGTATTCATATTTTATGGTTTTTGCTTTTCTCCCAAAACACATATACTCATTTCAAAATTTACGATGTATGACTTTAAAATATATGCATACATATTTCTTGCCTGTTCATTCCCCAATACTCAAACGCGTATACGTAAGTACGTACAAATTGTGACTTAATTATTCTTGACTAATTCTTAGGCTAGCCAATTTCCTTTTTATGAGAAAATCGAATTTGAAATCAATTCCTGGTTTAACCAGTCCAACTAGCCGGTATCCTCATAATGTTGACTCTCAATTTCACATAGCAACACTAAAATATACTCCACTTCTTAATGTAAGATCTAATTATTAGATTGATTTTGGTCCTAAATATTAGATCTATTTATCATATTTATCAATTTTTTTCTAAATTATCCCTATGAATACTCCCTCAATCATAATCAAGTGGAAGAAGGAGAAAGGATATTAAGGAAAATGATTATGGTGTTTTAGAAAAAACATGTCATATTTATTATAATTAACTAATTTACCTAACTTTCTTAATCTAATCAAATTATTTAACTAGGTTTTATGTTAAAGAGATGAGTAATAATTTATTACCTGGGTTAATATATTTTTGGCCTCCTAAGTTTGCACGAATTTTGATTTTAGTCTTTTAAATTTTAAACCATAAATTTTGATTTTTTAAAGGGTAAAATGGTTCAGACTTTTATTAAATTATAAAGACTAATATTTTAAATAAAAAAAATTTGAGAGACCAAAAACTTATAATTTAATACTTGAAGAATCTAAATCAGAATTAATGCAAATTTTGAAGAATAAAAATTGTACTAACCGCTCAATATTTAGATATCTGAGTTCCACGCAAGGCCCATCAATCATTGGGCAATGGACACTATATAAACGACAGGAAGGCCTCATCAAGAGCCGAAACGAAAAAAGAGAGCCTATTGGCAATTACCAAATAGCATTAAAATTTAGGTTTTATGGTTCAGCTCAACACGTGAGCCCCAACGGATCCACGACGCTACAACGGAACTCAAAGAAGACAACCGTTCCTCTCAAAGTCAGAGATCTCTCGTCGTTGGCGAACGGTCAGTGTCTTTGCCTTGGCTTTTTCTCATCTCAGGCCGTATCTGAAGGGACGATCTCCTTCATTACTCTCTCACACGGCAGGATTTCTTATAAGATCATCATCGATTTTTTCATGCTTCATTTCGTAATGATCTATCTGTGCTAAGTGTCTCTTATAGGTCAGAAAATTTTCTATCCTTCGCAGTTGCCGATTATCTCATTGGCGATTTTCTGGAAAGGTATTTTCCAGAGTTTCTTTGGCTTTGGTCGTAGAATGGATACGGGTTCTGTTTCGTGGCTTTATAGAAACCTCATTTGATCGTTTTTACAAGAAGTGATCGCATAGCGGAGTGGATATCGCGTTAGACTCCGGATCTAAAGGTCGTGGGTTCGAATCCCACTGCGATCGCATCACATTTTTTTGCCTCCTATTTCGTTATGTATTTTCTTCCGAAAGTTTGTGATATATCAAATTTGGAGTTTCAGTTTTTTCCTAGCTTGTCTGATTTTCAGGAGACCTGCTTTCCTCCCCCCCCCCCCCAAATCGTTGCCTGTATGGTTTATTTTCTGGCATTAAAACCGTGAAAAATCAGAAATACGTTTTTGGATACAATTTGGTAACTGGACCTCCAATTTATTGCAATATGATGATCCTTTGACAATGAATGTACTCCTTTGCACTCTGAAAGGTCACCTGATGCAACTTATCTGTTTTTGTTCCTTCTAGGTATTAGATATATTAGTATTGGGATCCATAATTTAAAATAATTTGAATAAGAATTTGTATGGTATATCCGTTTACAGCGTGTAATTAAAAGATGTGCTTCCTTATTGTTCCCGTATTGAAAATTTGAAGCTGTAAGTTTTCACTTATCAAGCTGGCATTGGAAGGGATTTTATATTGAACTCGTTCAGTACCAGCAGATGGGACAAGAATATTGAGTAATTTTTTCATAGCTCTCAAGTTGTCACTATTACATATTTTGTACATTGCAGGGCAATACTTATCGTTGAGCATTTAATTTATTTCTAACTTATGTGCAATAGTTTGTACGTTGAAACTAAATGCGCTGTCTACTGTTTCAGAATGTCAAATTGATGATTGGCGATTTATTTATTCCCTGTATATACGGATAACACTTCTACAGATGTTTATATTGTACTTTATTATCATTTCCTATTGCCTTATCAATTTGATGTGTGCTATGCCATGCCGCACTATGGACCATCTTACAAACGTTTGACGAGATTTAATGTTTGGCCTTGCGTTATTGTTCTTGCCGGTATGCTCCCTATCCACTATATTGATTTACCTTAATGGTTGATGGATGACTCCTGATAAATACGTTATGGATTTGATACTTTTTTCTCATATATGCCAAGTGAAGATAATTCAAAAAATCTATGGCTTAGTGTTGTGTTCAATAACAATAATGTATGCCTTTTCAGTACTTTTTGAGTGCATGATTGGATTTGCAGTTGGTAGTTCCCTAGTTGGTTAGGAAAATACAATGATCTAAAATGAAGCACATTTAAACCCATATAAGATCATAGAAAAGCTTACTACCAAGCTTCAAGTACTGTCTCTAGGTTTTTATGATATATTTTTAGTCACATTCATGGGCTTGGGGATGATGGCGTGACTGGAATGCATAATTAATTCAGTTTGTTTGGAGATAACTTTGCATACTAACCTTGTTTAGAATGTTAAGGCATTTCCTTTTCTAGAGTTACTTAATTGACACATACTAAATTTAGTACTGAGTCTTTTTTGTTTTTTGTTTGGCCTGAATTTAGTACAAAGTCTAAGCTATGGGTTTCTGTGAAATTTATTTACGACACTATCAGCCGATGATCTCATTGGAACCAACCCGACTTGTTGAAATCGAGATGGTATTTTGGCTTTGTAAGCCTCCTAAGTTGCTTTATGCGTTCTTTTCTGTGTTTACTTGAATGTACCTAGACTGGCACATCCACTAGGGTCTATGGGAAAACTCTGGCTGAAACAAACAGTCTAATTCTGGATGGGACTGACTGGTGAAGTTGAACTGGATAAGGGATTTGAATGAGATCACTTATTTTGCATCATTAACCAACTTAACTTTTGGTTTTGTGCGTTTTGGTTGTGTATTATTTGAGGTGGGAAATTAAGAGATATAGTTAGGAAGCAGCTCTTCATGGAAGCGTAGAATTCAGACTATGCCAAACTGGGTTAAAAAGTGAATACTCAGATAGAGTTGCCTTAAGAAACAAGCAAATCCAAGGTGTTGCATAGTAGAATGGAATGGACGCTCTTGTGCTGTTGCCTTGTCCTGACTATGGTTTGTTTTCTGCTTAGAAGGGAAATTTCATTGAGAATAATATGGATGCTATTCCATGATGTTGCAGGTCCATATAGGCTTGAGATTAGGAGATTGGATAGAAGTTTGGTGGAGAATTAGCTGAAGCCATGGAAGGATGTGGTCTGACATTATAGACTGCGGATATTCCAGCTTGACTTTTCAAAGAAAACTACTCGAAAATTGTGCATTTTTTAATTTATTTTTTAAAAAATCATGAAAAATTCAAGACTGCAACATTTTTTTACCCATAAGATATCAAAGTGTCATTAATGATTAAGAGAAAATTGGGAGGTTGGGGCATTTCAGGAGTCCTTAATGGCCCCTGCCCGAATTTTGTTTCTGGTTTCTTTTTTTTTAATATTTCTAAATCTTAAGGAATAAAAAATCGGACCGGATACTAAACTAGTCGAGATAATGGGTCAATGGTTAATGGTCAGACGGTCATATTAAAATAATAGAATTTAATTGGCAATAACAACATAGAATAATATTTATAAATAATAATCACTCAACAAAATGCAAAAAAATTATAAAAGTTGTTTAAATATTTAATTATACCAAAAGCAACATTAATAAAAATTTTCTTTGAGCAGCTCAATTCTGAATTTCATCCAAAAATTTCCTTGCACTTCATTTTTTGGGAACTCTCTTGTATTTTGTGTGGGCTACCTTTGAATTATTACTCTGTAGTCACCCCTTCTTGATGTCCATCTGCTTACAGCTTGCCCCTCAATCGCTCCATCAAGGCACCCACAATCAAAAAGCAACCAATCCCTAAAAAAGACTTAGACTGACTTCTATACTTACTTTGGTAATTGGGGCTGTGTATTTCTTGCTTTTATTAACCAAATTCTTATTCCTTGCAAGTCGCATTGAAAATTCCGGCTAGGGTTTGAAGGTGGATTTCAGCTAGGGATTTCAGATTTGGGGGAGGAAAAGAGAGTTGCTGAAGATTCGACAGAGGCAAAGATGCTACCCTCCCTTCCTTTTTAGATTCAGTCTACTGTCTATGAGTCTGTGATTATGTTTAAATTTTTTTATATATATTTTTTAAACACAAAACGATGTCATTTCTTAAAGATAGAAGATTAAAATTATTAAATTGGGCAATTGCGGTTGAAACAGTTTTTTCCTTTCAACCAGACTGAATCAGAGACCTGTTCATTGGTTTTCTGGTGGAATCAGTCAGTCTGGTCTGGTTTTTATTTTCATTGCTAAATCTAATTCCATCAAAGTATTGTTGTCCATTTGAATTTTGTTATGGGATGAACTTAGATATAACTATCACAAACAAATAAGCACAACTCCTATCCTGCTGTTTAAATGTGAACCAAATTGACATGTCCAACATTTATGCTCGTCTGCATATTATTTTTCAGATCCCATTCATTAAAATCAAGCTTAACCTTGGAAGAGCTGAAAAAATGAGGCTAAAATAAATTTAAATAGGGATCATTGATCATGGATTACGATGCTACCGTCTTTCAAAACTTTTTAAATTTTATATATCTATTATATATGAAATTAAATTGTGAATTTTGTGTGCTGGGAATTCAGCTTTGCTAAAATTTCATCAAGATACTTATGCAGTACCTCTGTTTTCTTACAAACTAAATTAATACTCACATTATTTAAATTAAATATGCAGAGTATAGCCTTATTAAATATTTTTTTAAACAAAAAACCAAATTCTTCAGGGTAGGATCATAGACACGGAAGAACATAATTTTTTTTTTATTAATTTTTTTCTGTTAAGTACATATCTTTTTATCATATATGACTTTTTTTAAAATTTTAATACTTAATTATCCAGATAACTTTAAGTTTGATGTGTATTTTCTTAATACTTTGAATTTATATAACTTAGAATGAATGTGAAAAAATGTTCTGGTATCTAATAAGATCAATACCGTAATAAGAATAAGAAAAGTAAAAAATTGGGAAAAAAATTTAAATTAGAGATATTTTTTTTTTCAAGGTGAAGACATGAAACGCCCCGCATCATGTTGACTTGTTCCAGCTGGTCAAAAAAAATATTGAGTTGCTCCGACGAACTCAAATCATTTTCTATCATTAAATACTTTCAAACAACAAACTAAATCCACTATCGTTAATAATTCGAGGGAGAACATATTAACGTATATAAAAGAAAATTAAAGGATATACATTTCTTAATTTGTTGTTCTGAAAATTAAGAACCGGAGGTACTATTAAAGAAATAAATTGAAAAAGTAAGCTATCCATATATAATTCTACTTTAAATCCTCAATACTGTATTTTATTTGACCAAAACTGACACGTTCATTTGTTCTAATGTTGAAATGCTTCCGATTTTCAGAGCCAGCCGCAGTCTCGTCATGGGCATTAAGCCTTTGATAGCAGGTAGCAACAAAGATGTACTTCAATGTTCAAGGAGTGTTTATAGCCCCAAACCCATTGAATTGGATTGGGTTACCTAGGTGAAAAGAGAGAAGGAAAAAAAAGGGATGGGTTGGTCAAAACCCTACCAGTCACTAAAACCACAACAAAAAATTACAATACCCTTGACAATAAGACAAGGAGTCACACTTACTCTGTTTTTAGGTCAATTGTCAAAAAGGCCACATTATAATGAATAATGTAGATAACACAATCGCAAGCCCATAACCAAAAATTGTACTTCTTTCTATCTTAATATAAGAATTAGTTTGACAGTCAATTTGATTCTAAATATAAGATCCTTAATTCACTTTGTCTCCAATATTTATTCATTTTAGCCTTAAATAATCCTTATAGCGGTTGCATATGTTAAGAAGTTAATATATATAGGTAATTCAAACACACATGATTAATAACGGTATTTTAAGAAAGACAATATCTATTTAGTGAAAATAATGTTCAAATTTCAACTAGGGCTTCTATTAAAAGCCTGAGGTAACAAAAGCTATGGTTGTTACTAGTCCATTCAGCCTAAAAGAAGAACTACTTCAACAGAAACCGCATGTGGATTTCAAATTTGAAATATGCGCAAGAGACAATACCATTGGTCACGAAAAAAATTGTGCTAAAGGGACGATACTGATCAACATTAAGCTCAATGCATACACACAACAACCATCATATAGGAATATAAGACCGTTGACCCAATGATGCCGAAAAGTGCAATGCATAATTTTTTATACAGAAAACCATACCATGCAAACTATGTACGCCAGAAGATAGCAACGTTCTTCATTGTGAAACAATGTATGGAATTAAATCAATTAATCGTGAATTTAGGGAAGCAGTATATTATCATAAACACAGCAATATTGCATACCAACCCAGGGATCGTCATGGCGGTGAACATTATTAGACATTTCATGAGAAAATACGGAGTATTGTTTCAGCAATATGAGGTGAAAATAGAGAGTCTAGAGACCCTTCATTAGAAAAAATAAAAGCAATAGTTTATAATTGTCATAATCATTCGAAAATTTTTAGCCTATGTTTATAATGCAAGATACATCACGTAGAAAGGGAAACTGCATGAAAACTCAGGTCAATTACCTCATCTTTCATTATATTTTTGACCAATTTGTTGCTGAGCTTTTGTGATCATCAATACGAATGATAAACCTAGGCTATGTTTAGATTGTCATTACAAAAGCTAAAAGCACCTGGGAAAGGCTGTAACCGAGGTTGGTGGCTTATTTGAGGAAAAATGATTGTTTGGATGTGTTGCTTTTGGAACTGACTTATAACCAAAAGCTACTTATTTTCGGATGCTCCCTGTTCTAGCTTTTCCATCGTTCAAAATGCAATTTACCGTTACAGGGCAATTAATGGGTATTATTTCTCTCACCTATCATTTTCACCCAACCCCAAAGCCTCAGAATACTCGACCCCTCAGAACACTCGACCGAGCAATAGGGAGGCTCCTCTTGCTCTACATTCGGCCTTCTATCCGTCACTCTCGGCACTCTCTCGCCGTCTCCATCCATGGGTCTCCGTCCATCGCTCTCTCCGGCGTCTCCATCCATGGATCTCGGCGGTTGTTCTCCCTCCATCACTGTCGCGACAAATCTGTGTCATCCTTCCTTACCATCATCGACGTGTATGTGCAAAGAATCGCGGCTGTCTTCCTCCGCCGGTCAAGGTACTGTGGTTGCCTTTCTTTTCTTTTTCCTGTTCGACTTCAGATCCTCCGTTCTCCTTGTCGGTGCTGACCGTGGTTGAAGGAGGTGGGTTATTTTTTTTCCCCCTTTCTCCTCTGGTTGTAGCTGCTGTTGTGTGTGCAAAGAATCATCTCCTGTGTTTTTTTCCCCTTCTCCTGCAGACGTTCTATTTTGACCGAAGCATATGATGGTTTGGCAAGTGCTGGTGTGCCCTTGTCGAAGTGAACCAGTAGAGTGCATGACTTCTCCATTTCTGATCTCCAATCTTTACGCGCAAACCATCATATGCTTCAGTCAAAATAGATATGTGGATATATTTAGCTAGGATATGTGGATGTATTCCGGCTTGGTTGAAGCTTTTGATTCACACGGTTATATTTGGAATGTAGATATATTTAGCATGTATGAACAATCTGAATATTGGAAAAAGAAATCATTCACATGATTGATTATACTGCTTGATTATATTGAGAGTTTGGCAAATCTATTGTGTTTTGTGATTCTGTGTTTTTTGTTATCCATCCTCATTCATGAGCAATTTTAATTTTTTTTTGGTTTTTCCGGCTACATTGAGCACTGGGTTTGAAATTTTGATCCAAACATGAATTTAGAGCTCTGCCAATTTTCAGTGACGTTTATTTTGTTTCAATTCATTGCCCATGTTGAGTTGAATTTGTTATGGTCTTGGTTAAGCTGAAAATTCTAGTATTAAGGTTAGCATACCCCAAGTTTGCTTGAATTAAGGCACTTTTAGTGATAAATTGATTTACATAATATTGTGGATTTATACTGCTTCATTATACTGTTTGATTCTTAACTAATTGTGGGTTTGATATATATGTAATTTCAACAAGAACTATGAGTAACGATAAAGGCAAAGCACATTGGGACGTGAGCACCACAGGTGTTTTTCTCAAAATATGTGTTGCCCAGATTTATAGCAAACTGCGTCAAGGATCTTCATTTACAAAACAAGGTTGGGACAACATTCACAAAACTTTCAATGAAAGGACAGGGACAGGATATGAAAAAAAGCAGCTGAAAAATAGGTTAGATAACTTGAGAAAAGAGTGGAAGACATTTGATAAACTAATTGCTAAGGAGACCGTTATAGGGTGGGACCCTGAAAGGAACACAGTGGTGGCATTTGATGAGTGGTGGGAGAGGAAATTACGGGTATGAACTAGCTTGTGTTAATTTAGAAGCAGTATTATACTTTTGGAATATATTTAACTTTGGTTTACTTTTGACTTTGTAGGAAAATCCAGCATATGAAAAGTTTAGGCACTATGGGTTAAGGTTTCGCACTGAATTGGAAACTATATTCAAGGACACTATGGCATCAGGAGATGATATGTGGGCACCATCTTGGACCGGGCCTGAGCCACAGAGGGGTGATCAGCCAAATGACTACCAACCAACAATGGACTGGCAAGAAGGTTCAGGGGATAGGCAAGACGACACTGGACGCCGTGCAGGAGTTTCGGACTATTTGGATGGCATCAATTTAACTGCAAATACATCGAACACTGCACCCACTGGACCTTGTGCTTCAGGGAGTCAAGGGAAGAGGAAGAGAAGTGAAGGGTTAGATAAGTACAAGAAGCAAAAAATGCCAGCGACAAGAAGAATAGCAGATTCAGTGAGTTCGATTGAGAAGGCTTCAATTAGTACGGCAGAGGTGGTAGAACCCAAATGGCTAGATAATTAAGTGAATAAAAAAAACTGAAATATAATCTAGTAGAGGGTTGAGGCAAGAATCTCACTCTCAACTCACTAATAGCCGGGATAAAATCTACTAAAATTTACTTAAGCAAGGATCTCACTTAACTAGATTTAGTAGCCAAAAGGAGAATCTCCAAATTACTGAACAAATATTTATCTCTCATATGTTAGCTTATAGGATGGCTAACATATTTATAGTGTAGAAATTACAATTGAATAAATATAAGAATTAAGTAAATATCCCTAATATCTTGGAACTAACAGAAAGAGACGTTGATGGACCTCTAACAACCTAAAGTCCCCTTATTCAATTAATAAATCATTAATAAAATCAATAAAACCTAAAAGACTCATTCAACTCTCCTAAAAAGATGCAAACAGACTCAACCACTACTCCAGTCTCCCTATTTCTCCTCTGGTGCGTTAATGTGCTGACTTGGAGTCCTATCAATACTCCCTCCCTGAAGACACGACTTGCCTTCAAGTCGTAATTGATGAACTTGCGCAGCCACTTGACTGTTCCCTTATCCATTGGATTTGCCTTTGATCGATGGTTCCCATTCATTTGCATTTCTAATAAGAGCAGACTTTGAAATTGGGCAGCAGTATGGGTCCCTGGAATAACTCCCTAAAACTTGTACTTTTTGCCATTTATCCAGAAAATCATGAACATCTCGTTCCAATTGGTTTGGGTGGTATTCAATGAAGCCAACCATTTAATGCCCGGAACAAGATCAATTCCACTTAAAGTGAAGGGGAAATAATCTTGTTTAATAACTAAATCAGAAATTTTTACCTCTAAATCTGTGCAAATACGGTTGCATTTTACCACTCTACCATCTCCTGTTTGAACTCCAAATGAAGACATCACACTAGTAGGAAGACACAAATCAGAAACTAATGCTTCTGATATAAAATTGTGAGTAGACCCACTATCTACTAAAATCAGAATCTCTCGGCCCATTATAGAACCTTTGAGCTTCATGGTTCCAGCATTTGCCTTCCCTACCATGGCGTTAAACATAACCTCAACTTCCCCTCCATCTCCCATATTGTTGACATCTTCTTTTGAGGGTAGGATAATTTCTTCTCCTTCTTCAATGAGTTCTAAGAGAGAAAAAGAGGAGTTGCAGCGGTGCCCTGGTTTGAAAACTTCACCACAGCGATAGCAAAGCCCTTTCTCCTTGCGATGCTGGCGTTCAGACTCCAAGGTAGAGGAACTGGGTGATTTTGCTGATGGGTGCTGAGACAAATATGTGTTTGGGGTTGGCGGTGGAAGGAGCTTTGGAATTGCAGATGAAGATGGTTGTGCGATGCTTGTGTCTTGTGCTGGCTGGGTATAGGGAAAAAAGGTGCGAGTTACTCCTGAGGCTATGTTGGGCTTAGGCCCATTAGCCTTTTGGAGCTTAGTTTCATATTCTAATGCTAAACTGGTTGCTCGATAGACAGTTCTAGGCTTATGGATACGTACATCCGCCTTCAACTCTTCCTTGAGCCCATTGATAAAGACACCTAACAAGCAATGCTCTGGCCAATTCTTGACGCGTGAGGACCTGCGAGCAAATTTAGAACGATACTCCGACACTGTCCCTGTTTGTCGAATGCTACAAAGGTACTCATCTGGGTTTTGGTATTCCGGTGGTCCATAGTTTTCTTGAAGAGCCTTCACAAGTTCATCCCAATACACTACCGTGCGTTCATTGTTAACCCAAGAGAATAGATCAAGAGCGTCTCCCTCCAAGTACATTGATGCCACATCCACTTTCAAATCTTCTGGGGTGTCATAGTACCTAAAATATTTCTCCGCCTTCAATATCCAGCCTCGCGGATCCCCACCGCTAAACTTGGGGAATTCAATTTTTGTGTAAGGCATTCGGCGCCTATAAGATGCTTCAGGGTCGTCCTCACTGTCAGCTTCCCAATGAGAACGTTGGTTTCCTCTTCGAGTTCTTTCAGATGCAGCCTCCAAATTGGCTACTCTATTAGCTAATGCTTCAATATTTTCCAGTCACGCAGCAATTGTGGTCAAAGGATCACTATCTCCTGCTAAAGGATTTTCAGGATTTTCAGGTGGGTTGGGAATGCGGGATGATCTAGTCTCAACCATGGCTCTGATGCCAATTTGGTAGAACCCAAATGGCTAGATAATTAAGTGAATAAAAAAAAACTGAAATATAATCTAGTAGAGGGTTGAGGCAAGAATCTCACTCTCAACTCACTAATAGCCGGGATAAAATCTACTAAAATTTACTTAAGCAAGGATCTCACTTAACTAGATTTAGTAGCCAAAAGGAGAATCTCCAAATTACTGAACAAATATTTATCTCTCATATGTTAGCTTATAGGATGGCTAACATATTTATAATGTAGAAATTACAATTGAATAAATATAAGAATTAAGTAAATATCCCTAATATCTTGGAACTAACAGAAAGAGACGTTGATGGACCTCTAACAACCTAAAGTCCCCTTATTCAATTAATAAATCATTAATAAAATCAATAAAACCTAAAAGACTCATTCAACTCTCCTAAAAAGATGCAAACAGACTCAACCACTACTCCAGTCTCCTTATTTCTCCTCTGGTGCGTTAATGTGCTGACTTGGAGTCCTATCAAGAGGCAATAAACAAAATCTCCAACAGTGACAACACTACTGAGCTTACCACTGATCTGCTGAGTATGCCTGAAATTGTCAGTGACACTCATCTATGTGTCATCTGTTGTAATCTGTTGGCAAACAAGACATTCAGGGACATATATGCTGGTTTGAGAGAAAATCGGGAGGTATTAGTAGCTTGGTTGAAGCACAATGCTGCAAACCCGCCACCATATGCTGCACCCAAGAATCCTTGAGTTGTGCCTAGTGACTTATTGTGATTTCTGTTTATCTATCTTAATGTATTTGGCTATTGTGTGTCATGACAATGTGTTTAATGATAATGTGTGTTTCATGACTTTGTTTAATGTTGTGTGTTTCATGACTACGTTTAATGTTGTGTTTCATGACTATGTATAATTATTATGTTACAATTTAATGGCTATTTATCACTTATCTTTTCTCTTCTTTTTTTGTGAAAATAGTACTCACATTTAGTATTTAACTACTCACAGGTAACATAATCCATGTCTGATTCAACGGAGGGTTGGGGCGAGGGTTGGGACGACGAGCGGTCTCAATTACTTCCTGCCTTACATGAACACACAACACAATTATCACAATTAAGTGGGTTAATGGATCAGTATGTGACACCTTTTCTGTGCAAACAACCATGCAGAACTAGCAAACAAACAGGTTATTTATGGGTTCAAGAACTTTTGCATGGGCATGAAGGACGGTCTAAGGAAATGTTTCGAATGGAAACAGAGATATTCCATTGATTATGTTCTAAATTGGTTGAACATGGGTTGCAAAATTCTAAGTACATAGGTGTCCATGAATTTGTTGCCATGTTCTTGAATACAATTGCGCATGGTCAGTGTAATAGGATGATTCAAGAAAGGTTTCAGCGTTCATAGAGTGTTGGATGCTTGCCTCAATTTATCTCGAGAAAATATCAGGCCTATTGATCCTGCATTCTCCTATTGCCACCCAAAAATAGCAAATGATCCACGATACTTTTCATTTTTTAAGGATGCAATCGGTGCAATTGATGGCACTCATATAAAATGTCAAGTTAGTCAAGCTAGGCAAGACAAATATATTGGAAGGAAGGGATTTCCAAGTCAAAATGTCATGGCCGTATGTGATTGGGATATGTGCTTCACGTTCGTGTTGGCAGGCTGGGAAGGTAGTGCACATGATGCTCGTGTCTTTCAATCTGCTATTTCAACTCCATCCATGAATTTTCCTCATCCACCTGAAGGTATATTTCTGTAAATTTCAAATCAATTATTTTAAAATTAAGCTTCAATTGCATTATTTGGTTGATGATTTTCTAGGCAAATTTTATTTGGTTGATGCTGGCTATTCATCACAAGTGGGATACCTTGGCCCGTACAGACGTGAGCGCTATCACCTCCTAGACTTTAATCGTTAGCCAGGATTTAGAAATGAGAATGAGGCCTTCAATTATTATCATTCAAGTTTGAGATGCACTATTGAAAGAACTTTTGGGGTTTGGAAGCATAGGTTTGCAATCTTAAGAGACATGCCCAGATTCAAGTTTCAAGCACAAGTCCGCATAGTTTGTGCAACAATGGCTGTCCATAATTTTATCAGGCAAAATTCTCTAACTGATGACCACTTTATACAAGCTGAGCATGGAAGTATAATAGATGAAGACAATAATCATCCAGTTGGTGAGGCATCCTCGTCAAGTTTAACATCTACTGCACAAATGAATCGTGTTCGTGACTCAATTAGAGACCAGATTGTGCAAAGCTTACGATCTAATTAGTTATGTCATTTTATTTACTTTAATTAGAGACCAAATGAATTTTCATTTGATTTATGTTCATGTTCGTCTATTAAATACGATCTAATTACTTATGTAATTTCATTTTCTCTAATTAGAGACGAAATGAATTTTAATTTATGTTCATGTTTGTCCATTATATATATTTAATTAATTATCTATAATGTGTTTTTAAATTTTTCTTGGTGACATATTTTTATTTTATAATCTCACAAATAAATTATTTTTATTTTATCATAATAATTTTAGATTTTTTTTAAAAATTATCATATTAAAAATATCAAACACTATTATTCAATATAATATATGCCATTTTCAGTCATTTTACAACTGAACTAACTTTTATATTCATCCAAACAACTTTTACTTTTTCAACTAACTTTTTAAAAGCACCTATCCAAACATACCATAACTGACTTTTACTCTAACTTCAGTTAGAAAAGTCAGTTGGACTATAAGTCAGTTTTACCTAACGCCAATCCAAACATACCCCTAGTTGTTTCCTCTCAGCAAGAGAGTCTATCTTTTTGCAGGAAGCATGCAAAGAAGGAGAATCAATAATAGCCAAATTATAAACACATTTGAAAACCACCAAACCAGCAACTTAACAACACTGACATGCCAAACTTATAGTTCAGTCACCTGAGCGTTCATTATTTTTGGTGCACACAAATTGCAAGACTTCATTGCCTCAATGAGGGTGTACAAGAACAGCAGATGAACATCCTAAGCACGACAGGCACAATCTGAATCGGACAAAATATATTAACTGCAACTGACCAAATACTACAACCAATAGTAAAGACTAGAGATGTTTGGACAAAAAAACCAACTTAAAGGAAGCAACAGTAGACTGATTCAGATGTTTTACTAGTGTTTCAAGTAACTGGGATTGTTATATTAATTTGAAGAATCTTTGCAAATTAGGACTTCAACTGATTCTTTTGCCAGGTAGAAGATATGATAAGGATTCAATAATTACCCTGATATAACAAAGGTAGAATCTTATATATTCTTACCTAGGTACTTGTACTGATAATGATATGTACATATATTTTTTACCATTATTTAATAGATCGGATCCTGTTCAGTTTTTTATCACATGAATGCATTGTGGTTATATCTGTTTAAGCACTTTGAAGATGATTGCCACACACACAATAATCTAGTACCTAATTAGATTTTATACATGGATAACATTCATATACGATGGTCTGTGTATCTCTTTTAATATATTGCTCACGTGAAAGATTAAGACATGATATTATCTGGTGTACATGATTTTAAATGATGATTTTAAATTTTAAATTGTCATATCATGTGATTGTCTAATGCAGAATCGACCTTCACGCGAACCCTATTGGAATCACAATTTATTGTGTTCATTGGTTTTCAATATCAGACGCTATGATAAATTTTAGTGAATGCACAGGATCATAAGGTTGCTAGTGTCCCTTGTTTCTCATTGTGTATACAGGGATCTTTATTTTGAACAGTGAACCCTATAAGGGTCTGATAGCAGACACATTAAGTGTCCCCTGTTGCTCACATCAATAACTTATTGCGTTCAACGTGATTTCTTAGCTATATCAGACAATTTCAAATTTTGAATATATCTTATTGTGTTCACGGGATGATATCATCCCTCTCGATGATATCATGTGATTTCCTAGTCCTACAAATGCCTAAATACATAAAAATATCATAATTTTAAACAGGAAGAAAAAACGAATGCCTAATACTACTTCTCAAGTAGACTGACAGATAGAAGAGATGGAGAGCGGAAGGTCATGGTTGATGATAATTACCCCACAAAGTGGCAACATTGATAGTTCTTGCAAGCTGGTTGCACTGTCACATTTTAATCAGGTGCTTGTCTGATAATGCCCAAGCAAGTAATATTGGTCTATGCCAGCTAAATCACAAAATGGAATTAATTATATCATCGCTGCAGGTTCAAATGAATAATAGCTATGCTTGTGTAAAATACAAACACTAAAATAAAGCACCATAAAAACTACAGACACACAGAGATATCAAGTGCAAACATTAAAAGCACCATTAAAGTAGTCATCATCATTGAAGAAGATAAAAATATAATCCAATAAGGTTATAACGAATTGGGCTCTGCCAGTAATCACTTGATCCCGTCTAAGTTAAATTCTAACACAGATAAAAATGTTAAATGTCTTTGTGAAAGCATCTGTATATCTTGCCAAAGCACCTTTAACTACGTTGACTAAGCACCTTAATGTTGGAAGGTCAGCATGCAAATTTAATTATGCTCCTGCAAATACTAAGGTAGCAGAAGCCATTGCCTTGGCGATTCAATGGTGAGGAGACGAGTTGGACCTATTAAAATGCAAATCCTCTCTTGTACTACGTTTTATGCCTTGCAACTCAAGTCTGAGGAAACGATTTGAGCTTCTTGTAGCATACCCTTGTGACTAAGTCCAGAAATAAGTTGATAACAGATGCGTTCATTTAGGGAATAGCCTCTGTCAGACATTTCTTTATACCAAAAGTACGCCTCATTGAAATCCTTCACACTGCAACATCCCTTCACCAGTATGTTATATGTATCAGCTTTTGGAACCACTCCTTTGGCCTTCATGTCATGAACAAGATGCTTTACTTCCAACACCCTTTTATCCGCAAGGTATACCAAAATTAAGCTGTTATAAGTTACATTGTCCGAATTAATCCCCTGCTCAACCATCCGTCGGTGCAAAGACATTGCCTTCTCAACATTGCCTTCTTCTTCAGCGTAAGTGCAAATCATCGCATTATATACAACTCGATCTGGAACCAAACCCATTTCTAACATTTCCTGATACAGCCTCTCTGCTGTCACAACCCCTTCCTTGATGCTTGCATTGATCAAAGGATGAAACGTCCTAACTGTAGGTTTTATGCCCACTTTCTTCATATTATCATACAATTCGAGGCATTTATGGGTGTCACCTGACCTAGCATATCCTGAGATCAAGGAGTTGTATGAGATTACATCTGGATTGTATCCATTGCTACCCATTTGCTGGAAAAACTCCTCAGCTTCTGTTATCCTTCCATCTTTTCCGAGCCCATATATGAGCGTATTGTATGTCACAAGAGTTGGAGCTGGTCCATTTTTAACCATTTCCTCAAAAAATCTCAAGGCGTCTGTCATTTTGCCCATTGAGCAGCTACCTTCAATGAGCATATTATATATTTCTGCGTTTGGAGAAACCCCTCGGTTTGCCATATCCGCAAGGATCAGTTCCGCTTCAAGAAGCTTGCCTCCTTTGCATAAGCAATTTACCAGAAGACCATAGCTCAAGACACTAGGCTCTATCCCTGCCTTTTCCATTTCCTCGAGAATCTGGAAACATTTCTCAAATTGACTCATGCAGCCGTAACCATTAATTAAAATGTTATAAGTCTCCAAACTTGGGGAAACACCCTTCTCTGCCATCTTCTTCAACCATGTCTCTGCCTGGTCCACCTCCTTTATTTCAAAGAACTTGTTAATGAGGGTATTGAACGTCACATAGCTAGCCTCCACCCCACGTTCTTCCATTTGTTCAATTGTCAGTATGGCTTTCTCTATGTGACCCGCTTGGCAGTATGCATTCACTAACACATTGTACACTATCTTACTTGGTATAAATCCACTCTCTGTTAGTTTGGTCAAAACCTCCTTGGCCTTTTCAACCATACCCGCTCTGCATAATCCATCCAACAAAATACTACAAGTATACTCGTTGATCATCTCCCCTTTGTCCAACAAACCATTATTATTTCCACTTGAAACACCATCAAATATAATTTGAGTGAATCCATCCGGCAAAAACTTGTTAGCCTCCATCTCTTGCAACAATGACCTCGCTTCTGCCATCCTCTGTGAATCACAAAGACCATTCAACATAGAATTGTACGTGACAAGATTAGGCTCCACATTTTCCACCCTCATCCTCTCCCTCAAAGCCAAAGCTCTCTCTATCTCTCCCACCTTGCAGTATCCATCAATCAGCGTATTATAAGTAACCAAATTCGGAACCAGCTTCCTTTTGATCATTTCATCAAACAGATTGTGAGCATCTGTGATTCTCCGCTCTTTACACAACCCACCTATTACCAGGTTATAAATAAACGAAGAGGGGCTCACTCCTCCCTCCTCCATGTCATTGATCAATTCGAGAGCCCTTTTTAAGTCCTTCAGCATCACTGCAGCCTGAACAGCTTTGCCGTATGAGAAAGTGTTGGGTTGAATGCCAGACTCCACAAATTCCGGGAATAGATCAAGAATTTTCTTATACTGTTTCAAAGTAATCAAAGTTTCGAGCAACCGATTCACCGAACCTGTCGAAGGAAGCATACCGTCTTTCTTCATCAAGTAGTATAACTCCATAGCTTCATCGACCATCTCGGACTCGGAGCAAGCCCGGAAAAGCAAATTTGAGAAAAGGGGTTTCAAGGAGGGTGCTGAGAGGGAGAAGTAGTCGTGCAGGTCCAAGGGAGAACAAAATGGGTTTTTAGAGAGAACCAGGGATTTGATGAACCTTTGGACAGCATGACCGCGGCCCTTTTCAAGTAAATTTTGAAACTCACGAACTTGTTCAAGCCGTTCTTGTTCTTGTGAATCGGATTGATTATTAAATTCTCCGGAAGGCTCATTTATTGGGGTATGGTGGGTTTCAGCAGGTGTCTCTGAAACAGTTTCGGAGCAGAAGCAAAGGGAAAGTGGAACATGTATGGAATTGCAGAGGTCTTTTCTGAGTGATCCATGCAACTTTCGAAGAACTACAAGAGCAGCGCACCTTCCCATTTGTGATGCCTTACGGGGTCGGTTCATTTTTCGCTTAAAACCTCTCCTCATCTACGTGATGTTTCTGGCACAAAAACCATTTCTTAAAAAGTGCGTATCCAAAATGACCAGTGTCAAGGGCTATAAAGTGTTTGAACAGAACGAGTTTGAAATTAAAAATTAAAATGAAAAACACTTCAAACATTTCCGGAGTCTCTAACATCGCAGATCAATAGAGATGACCGTAGAAAGACAATTTCCGTTCATATAACGGGGAAAAGAGCAGGCAAGCCAGCGCACTGTCAAAAACCAACACGACCCAGACAAGTGGTAAACCAGATGCCAGGAAAGTAAAGCATATCGGTGGCAGCACCGCTGGGAACGGCAGCTTAAGAAAAGGTACCACCGCTGCATGTCAAATCTACCTGTAGTAATCAAACACCGTTATCAAAGATGTTTCTGGCACAAAAACCATTTCTTAAAAAGAAATAAAAATAAAGTAAGATAGATGAGAACATTCCATTCAAACTTTTACATGACTATCTACTGAAGTGAATCCAAAGCACCCATCATAAATCCTCATAACTCAGAGGCATTCATAATAGAAATTAATATCTATGTGTTTACATTAATTATTTTCTTTCGACATCTAATCAATGCTATATCTTAGCTACGAAATTGTTCTTCATCTTTCACTCACTTCAGATCTATAGATACCAGTACCACCCAAAGCATCAAGGCAAGGCAGATCTTCGACAGCCGTGGCAATCCAACCGTCGAGGTATAAATCTTTCCTTATCCTTAATCCTTCTTCGCCTCCTTCTTAATCTCTTAATTTCGATCATTTCTAGGACTCCCATCTGTTTGTTAACAGTCTCACCGTCACTATCATCCTTTCTTTCTATCTTTCGCTCTCTACTTTTGCGGTTTGTTGAAACAAATTGTAATCGCGCTCAAAATAGCTGCCATGATGATTCTTTGAAGATATTTACATGTTCTCACCTTCACAACAACGACAATTTCCGGGGGGGTCTGGATACTTCTTAACACGATTGTTTTGCAGAGAAGATCATGGTTTTGAGAAAAACCATTCAAACACCTAGTTAAAACCCAAAAATTCATTATCAGGTCTCACCGTACCCCGTGCATTACGCAGGTTACTGAACCCAAAAATTCTGATTCATTAATTTTACCATTAATTTTCTTCTCATATTACATTCTCGGATCATTTTCACAACTACAATGAAAGGACATGAGGCATGCTGCTCTGTAAGTGACAGACTATTCCTTTGCCTTTTGCATTATGCTACCTCCTGTCCTTAATATAAGACCTCGTTTAACTTTTTGTTTGGTCCTAATTATAAAACCCCAATCTATTTTGTCTCTTATATTTATGTATTTTTTTTTCAAGATAGTCATTCTAATAATGATAGTTCTAGCCAATACACTTAATTAGCAAAGATATTTTAGGAATGACAACACTTATTTATTACAAATAACTAACTTAACTTACTTCCTTAATCTCCTCAAATAAGTCAACTGGGTTTTATAATTAGGACTGGAAGTAGTAATACTTGTCTGGTCCTATTTATAATCTTATTTATGAAGTAGGAAGAAGAGATACCATTAAAATTTATAATATAAATATACTCTTTTACTGTTTATTTATTACTGTGTAGATTTATTTTTTCGAAAGTGTATATTAAATATGGTTAAAATTGAAAAATTATTTAGTTTTAAAGTAATATCAATGAGATCTAAAATTTTTCTTGATTACTGTGAAACAGTGATTACAGAAATACTCTCTCTGTCTCTTATTATAAAATCCAATTTTTTGAATATGTTTGTCCCTTTTTTATAAGATCCATTTTGAGTTTGTCTGAACTTTTAATACATTATTATCTATTTTACTCCTAATTTAATGCGTTTAATATATTCTTTTTTTTTTTTTTATCTTACTGTTACTTTCTCACATCTACCCATTTATATATAGGGATATATTTGGAAAAATATATATATTTGCTACAAATAACAAGTCTTTGCCTTGATTTGTACTGTTCCTCCTTGATGCTTGAAGCAGAGTATTTATTGAAATCCAACTACAAGGCTTATCACTCCTTTCATGTCAATTTCTGCTTTATGGTATTGTAGAAGCCGCGCCAACTTATTGTCGAAGTTAAAAAAAGGGAAATTTTCGTTCAAGGACCGCAGTACAGAATTAATTTCAAAGAGTCCCTAAAACTTTTTAAAATTTCACTGCATGACCAAGGGGGAAAACTGATATTAATTCCACAAAGAAAATGACCCTATTGCCCCTCATGTGAACAAGTATGGGAGAACCCATTTACAAGTAAGGTTAGATAATTTACAACATGCATAGATATATTTACAATTAAAATTAGTCCATTTACATATTACCTTCTTCACTTGAAGAATGTGTCTGAGTGAACAAGTGTGGGACAACCCATTTGCAAGTGGGACTAGACAATTTACAACATACATATATTTATTTACAACTGGAATTAGTCCATTTACATATCATTTCCTTCACTTAAAAAGGTCTCCGTAAGTGAACAAGTGTGGGAGCGTCCATTTGCAAGTGGGATTAGTCAATTTGCAACATACATACATTTATTTACAATTAGAATTAGTCCATTTACATATCACCTCATTCACCTGAAAAGGTGCCTGCGAGTGAATAAGTGTGAGAGAGCCCATTTGCAAGTGGGACTAGTCAATTTGCAACATACATACCTTTATTTACAACTGAAATTAGTCCATTTACATGTCACCTTGCAATAAGTATTATGAGGGGCAATAACGTCATTTTCTTTGTGGAATTAATATCAGTTTGCCCCTTTGGTCCTGCAGTGAAGTTTCAGAAAGTTTTGGAGGCTCTTTGAAATTAATTGTCTTCTGCAGTCCTACAGTGAAATTTTCCCTTAAAAAAACCACAATAAATGCAGACCACTATAACTTTGGTGCTAGGAAACTAACAGCGGACTTTGCATCATTTGTAGCAGTAGAAGCACAGTTGTAAATTGTTAAGAGAGATTGCAAGTTTGCATGATATCTTCTATTTTTTTGGCTTTCTGCCTTCTTCTTCTTCTTATATGTTTATATATATTAGGCAACTTTCATTCGTTTTCAACAATGGAAGGCTCTACAGCCATTCCCTTTTCAGTTGGTGTATCTGTGAAATTTAAAATTACAGGACACCATTTAATTGCTGTCATAACAACTTTGAAAATAACGTACCTACCATGTGTCTATTTCCAAACTCCTGTTATTTTCGCACTCAATTCCGGTACAATTCCCTTTTTTCTTTTGGTTCATAAACTTGTGTTTCTGTTCATATTAGAAACTTAATCAGCTTGTTCATTCTTTGTCCTTGTTCTTTATATGTCAGCAATCTTCATGCAAGGATTTCGATTCGTCCTTTGTTGAACCTCAGGCTTAGTGGATCATTTGTGAGAGAGAGTCTATCTAAAGAAAGGAAAGGACCCATTCTGTAAACAAGGAAGAAAGCCAATAATGGATTCAGCATATCAGGGCCACGCGTACTAAGTTTTAATTGCTTGATAGTTAGTAAAGGAAGAGAACATTATTTATTTATGTTTGTGTTTTGGGGGTAGGTGAGTTCTTTAAATGGCAAACCCAATGATCTGAAGCCTTATTGCTTATCTATTCTGTATTATGATCCAACATGCCATCGGATTTCCTGAACTCATCGGTTCTATCATCTTTCAAGAAAGACTTTTCAAGGAGACTTATTGCCTTTCATGTACACGATGATTGAAACATAAGTGGAAGATTTATCCCCCGCATAATTTCGATTTGCTAGCAATCAAGTGCCCTGCCTATTCGTTATGGATTAATTTTTGAGTCAGATCACTTTAATGCTTTTTTTTTTTTTGGCCAAAGCACTTTAATGCATATTGAACAGTGAAAATTTACGAGAGAAATCTTGAAGATAGAGTGAGGATTCCAGCAGACTTTATATTTTTATAGTTGAACATAAAGTTCTTCACATTCAGTGAAAGAGTTATTTCAGGGCCCATTAATGCACGGGTTATAAATGTTACTACGAGAATGGCCAATTTATAAGCCCCACTGATTAATCATGATGGACAAGCATTAAAGCAAATGCTTGGTACATGGATATTGGAAAAGGAACGGGGAACTTTTAATTATTGACAGCGTGCCATAGGCAGAAGGATCAAAGGCAGAAAAAAGGATGAGAGTAGGCAACTTGGCAATTTCCAGTCCTTTTGTTTGCTTCAATTATGAATCACAGATCTACAGGTGAACCCGATTAGGAAAAACAAGCTCTGAACTGTCCTCAACTATGAGGACTTCGGCTGCAGAAAATAGTGCCTGAGGCTCGTGTTATTCCAAGCACTTTGTCCATAATCTACAGTATCTTCCAGATAGATAGCCCTACATATCCAAGACTCATTCATGTTGTACTTTACTAGACTATATCAGAACTGCCATTAAAAGTCTCACTGTCATCTTTTTTTTCTTCCAAAGAAGACTAGAGTAAATTAACAAAAGAAAGCAGAAACTGGGCATTCTAATTCAAGAATTCTGAGACGGTAAGGTTATCTTTTTGCTGTTAAGGGCTACTGGAGGAATCACACGGATAGTTCCAATTAAGAAGCTCATCAATCATCTGCATTGCCTCTTCATCTTCCAACTCGCTTGCAGCTTCACTGCTAATGGCGTCTGCAGCAGTTTTATCATCACCTTGCTGTGCTTGTTTCTTGCCAAGCTCTACCCTGACGACCCAATTGGAATCCGAGCGAGGTCCTGGTCTCTTTTGCCACACACCAATGTGAGAATTATCAGAATCAAGCCTGAGACAAGTGAGGGAAGGAGATGGGTCCTTGCAGCATTTCTTAAGCTTTGTGGATAACAGCTCTGAGAGAGCCTTGGGAGACAAGAAAGACCCTCCTCCATCTTCAGCTTCATTCAATGGAGCTGGGAAATTTGTCTTTGCATTTCTACCATTCATCAAAATGGCTGCTTGATCATATGCCCTCGCTGCTGCCTCTGCCGTCTCAAATGTCCCCAGCCACACCCTTCTCTTTCTGCAACATACGCAGACACAGAGAGAAATATATATCAGAATCCAGAGTCTTAACGGTAGGAAACGGGACTAGTTATTAATGTACATGAAATGAATATAAGAGAACCATAAATAAACAAGGAAGTGGTGATTACAGCAGAGGATGGCGAATTTCTGACACCCAAGAGCCCCACTGGCGCTGCCTTACTCCTCTGAACTTCTTTGATTGTACCATGCTGACGCGTGGAGATCAAACAAAGAGAGAAAGGGAAAGAAAAGGTTCAAGTTTTAGTACGAATAATGGAGATGGAGGGCATATTAATAGTGGGATGATGAGGGCACAAAGTCAAGGAGGAGAGACTCATTAGAGTTTGTGAGGTGTTTGTGAATTCATAGTGATTGTCGGTGGAATGGTCGGAAAGCGGGATTAGAATAGTACAAATTGCAATAAAGGTTTCACCTGCACAGGTTTGATAATTCCATAGCTCCTTAACAACTCAATTAAATGACCTTCTCTTCTCCCCCACAACAATATACTGATAATAATAATAATAATGTGTAATTTTTTATGAGAGAGAGATAATGTTCTCTCTCTTCAATTTCCAGCCACATTTTCAAAGCAACTTGTGTTTACACTCTGGGTTGTGTTCTTGTGTGAACCCCAAAAAGAAGACACTTTTCCTTGTTGAATTATGAATCCCTCATATCGCTCATGTGATATAATCTGAAACTGCTTGCTTTTTTTCTTTTTTTTCCAGATTCTCAAGTTGTCTTCTGTGAAAAAATAAAGATTTAAAGATAAAACTTAAGACTTTGAGGGTGTTTGGATAGAAACCAAACCATAGTTTCAAAAGTGTTTTTACGATTTACGCAGTAAATATATAGATGAATTTGTTTCGTTTTACGGAAAAATACTTCTAAAACTATAATTTGGAGGTTGCCAAACACTCCCCTTTATCTCCCATACGGAAGGAACAAGAGGGACCATGGATCAGAAAATTATCGAGTGAAATTGTATGGACACAAGAACGTCCCGTTCACTTAGTCATTTGGTGATGTCCAAAAGTGAGAAATGGTTCAGGGAAGTCAAGTCGAAGGTTGTTGTGGGTTGACAGAATTTGGGACACTGCGGCTACATGTTTCTTCGTTATTGGAGCTTTTGCTTCCATCATTTATTGGTGGGGCAAGGGCAAGCCGAAAATTGAACATATATAAAATTTTGGCTGTATAACTTTTTGTTGTTATTGGTTATTCACTTTTATTTTTAAGGAAAAATTTGCCAAAAATACCTCATTAGAAAATTAATCATGTAGACACATCTAAAGATAAGCTCATCAGATCTAGACCATCTAGATCTGATTTGAACGGTTCAGATTTAAAATTTTTAAATAATTATTTTTAAATAAAAAATATTTTAAAAAAAATAATAGTTAAAAGATTATTTTTATTTTAAATTTTATATCAATTAAAATATTTATTTTAAACAAATAGACACACAAAAAATTGAACATTCAAATTAGATGTGAAATATTCAGATCTCATAATCTTTTAATCAAAGTGATGAGCACCTAAATTAAGGCTCTAGAGAGTAAACAACGGGAAAGGGAGAGCAAACTAGCAAAGACGCGATCAGAGAGGAAAACATTTATTTTATATAAAATGAGAAATACTAACTCGCGTCATCACTCATCAGTCCCTCCCATCCATCTCCATGGACGAACAATCTTGATGGCGAGCACATAACTGGCACAAGCTACTGAATTAGTAGCATCTTCTTTTCACATGTATAGCATGAAGATATACTAACGACTTAGCATGTGCTTGGTTCAAAAGATGGGAAGGAAAGGAAAGGAAAAGAAAGAAAAGAATTTTAATATTATCTTATATGGATTGACGAGAAAAGAGAAAGGGAGGAGGGATATTTTATGATTTGATAAGAGTTATGATGGGAGAGAAGAAAAAATCTTTAAAAAAAATTTTTCCTCCCTTTCTAAAAATTTTAGCAATCCAAACAAAGAGAGGGGAGCCAATCCCTCTTACCCCCCTCCCCTCCCCTCCCCTCCTCTCACACCAATTAAGTTCTTAAGATCTGTTTGGTTCAACACAAGGAAGGAGAGGAGATGGATTTTAATATTATCTTATTTTAATTGATTAGAAAGAAAGGAAGGAGAGGGATTTTAATGTTATCTTATTTAGTTCAGGAGGGAAGGAGAGGAAAAATATTTTTGTATAAACAATTTTACCCTTATTTTATTTAATTTGTTTTAAATAGAATTATAAATGACATTTACTATATAAAATTATAATTTTATAATTATTAAAATTAAATAAATATAATTATAACAGACAATTAATATCTAACTCTATAAGACAAGTGGCCTTGCTTTCTTTCTAGGTGCGTCATTTTGTGTCCCAAAAAAGTGTTCTCTGGCCTTGTGACAGGAATATTTTGCATTCATATATGTTATATAAAATATAAAAAATAACATATTTTCCTATTTACAAATAATAAAAAATAAAGCTTATTTTTCTGTTTATCATCCACAGTTCACAGCATCTTTTGTCAATAAAAAATTTTATTGAGACAAAAGATTGGTCAAAACTAAAAGCAATTTAATAATAAATAATGGAGATGTGGAAAAAGTGAGGGAGAAAGGGATGGATAGTTTGGAAACATCAAATATAAGCATATATAGTCATGACAAGGCAAAATATTACCATTTCTTTTTGAGGATGTGTTTGGTATAAGGGATTTGGAAGGAAAGGGAAGGAGGGGAAATAATTTCATTTTCCTTTATTTGGCAACATACAAATTTTAGGAGGGGAGGGGGAATTTTAAAATTTGTTCCCTCCCCTCCCCTCCAAAATTGGAAGGATTTGGAGGGAAATGACAATATTTTGTCATGTTATGACTATTATGCCCATATTTTGTCATGTGATGATCATTATGTCCATATCTTAAATAAAATAAGAGTGAAATTGTCCATATCAAAATATTTTTCCTCCTTTCTCCTCATGAATCAAACAAGATAATATTAAAACTCCTTCTCTCCTCCCTTTTTATTAAAATCTTTTCACTCTCCTCCTCTTTCTCTCCATTAAAATCCCTCCCTTCCCTTTCTTTTATTAAGCCAAACAGATCCTAAATCTTCCTAATTTTAGTGGGGAGGGTTAGGAGGGGAGGAGAGGGGAAACTTTAGAAAATTTTCCTTCCCTCCTACAAATTTTATAAAGCCAAAGGGAAGCAAAATTCCTTATTTTCCTTTTCCTCCCCTCTGATTTCCTCCTACCAAACAAGTCATTAAAGTCACAAGAAGGATGCTATTGGCTAATAAAAAAATTTCATACAATATAAAGCATCCCACTGCAATTAGTGTGGTCTTTCGTTATTTCTTTTTTTACTTATTCATAAATTTTTAATTTTGTTTCTTATGTTATATTACTATACTCCTAAATATATTAAATTCATGCGAAGATAAGTTTTCAAATATAATCAAAGACTTTTTTTTGTTGTCATTTTTGTTATCTTTTTCAGATGTTTACTTTTCAATTTTTTAGTGCCGGCACCGAGAAGATATAAAATCTACCCTCTTAATGACACTATCAAGAAAATAGAAACGTGCATGAGACTAGTTTAGGTACTATGGATAGAAGAAGTGCACATCACAATGACACAATGGTCAAGAATTTTTTAAACTGAGATAGAAAATTAATTAGGTTAAGACAGTTTTTAATATAAAAATTAGATAAAAATTTATAAATATTAAAAATTAGTTGTCACAATGGTCAGGGATTTTTTTTAAACCAAGATAGAAAATTAATTAAGCTAAGACAATCTTTAATATAATAACTACATAACTAATTTATGAATATTAAAAAATTAGTTAAGTTAGATATATGTAATAAATGTGTGTGTTGTTTTTGCTAGAATACTCTCTGTAATTATCTATATTATAATTATCTCTTAATAGATATTCTCCTAGTATGCAATAAATGAGTATATTTGAAAAATAAATTATAAATTAAAAAAAGTAATACTTTTTACTTAGCACTACCAATTCTTGAATTAAATTAAAGTACTCTTCAACAAGAAGGAAAGACCCTAAAAAAAAATTACCAGAAAGAACGCTTGCAAAACATAAAAATTTATTTAATTAATTTAAATGGTTTTGTATCATAAAGAATAAGCATTTATAAGTATAAAAATAATCAGGCTGTAATTTTATTTTAAAATATAATTAAATAACCTAACTAAATAGTAATACGGTAAATGCTAAATTCTAAATAGTAATATGACATAAATTATTTACTATGTTGGGTCTAAATTATTTACTATGTTGAATCCTTAATATAAGAACTAGTTTGACATTTAATTTGGTTTTAAATATAAGACTACAATCCATTTCATATCTCAGATTTATCCATTTTTTCCAATATAATCATTGTAATAGTTGTACATGTTAAATATTTCATTAAATAATAATTCTAACTAATATATATGATTAGTAAATATATTTTAGAAAAGAAATACCTATTTATTATAAATAATTAACTTAATTAATTTTCTTAATTTATTAAAATTAGTCAACTAACTCATATTAAGTACCAAAGGTAGTATTATTTACTCATCCCGTCCCATTTATAAGGTACTTTTAACATGTTTCACACAGACTAAATCTGTATTAATTTTTTATTAAAATATAACAACTTTTAAGTTTAATTATTATTTACTATATATATTATTTTTCAAAAAAAGAACTATTTAAAAAATAAAGTACTTCAAGGTAGAACCGGTAATGCAGGCAAACCCACTGGTTATGGGTTGGCCCGTGGTAGGCTCAAGGACTGACTTCTAGCAGAGTGATATTTTACCAACCTAGTCCGCGCAGGATGAGTTGGTGGGTTAGGCCGGCCAACCCACCACCTTTTAAAAAAAATATTTTTTTATTTTTTTTTATTTTTTGTGCCTTTTGATTTCTTTTAATAAAATATATTCCAATTTTTAAACACTTAAAATAAAATATATAAATAGAAATTACCATAAATAAAATATAAAATCCAAAATTCTAAACATTCCAAAATATTAAGCATATATGATACATCATCCTAAAAGATTAAACATACCTCCCAAATTAAAACATAACAAACCTAAATCAACAATAACACAAACACAATATTATAAATCACTATCAAGTGCTCAATCATGAATCATTATTCAATGTTGATATAGGTCGAAAAATGGTATGAAGATGTGAAATTATTTGTTTGAGCTTGATAAGTAGTCTTTTTGCTCAACTAACTTTGCCACAAATAAAATTCATAACACAAAGTGAAAGATATATTATATTATGATAATTTTAAATAATGAGAATGAGATAAAGGACTAAAGAAGTAAACATAATTGTATTTGAAGGGAGGGAAAAATTTAAAATAAAATAAAACGGGTTGGCCTACCAACCTCGCGGGTTAGCCCGTCACATGTTCGGTCTTTGCGGTTACGGGCTCAAAAGATCCGTTTTAAAACAAGCCTAATTTTCATCAACTCAACCCCCCATTTCTTGGCTGGTTGAGTTCGCATATTATCAGCTCTACTTCAAGGCCCAAAAAACAAAACAAAACATTACTTTTAAATTGAAAATTTAATAAAGTAACTTGTAGCATCATGAAAAACCTTCTTCCGTTTTTCACCAAAATAAAAAAAATAAAAAGAAAAAATGATACAAAAATAATACTTGAACTTAGAAATGCCAAAATAGTCACTTGAATTTGTAAAATTCCAATTTAGTCACAAGTAACCAATTTGACATTTATAAATTTGTTAAAATAACTATATTGACCTTCATTTTATTTATTGTTTTTTGAAAAACTAAAGTCCCCAATGCACGGCCAGTCGTCGGAGCTTCAGTGATTCGCCGACAATTGGTTGTTTGAGCTTCGGCGATCGGAAAACAATTTTTTAAATTTTTTTCAATTTCAGTATGACGGTTAATAACTTTTGTAACGCTATTAACAAGTTCAGTATAACAGTTAACAATAGATTTTTCAGAAAATTCAAAAAGTAATATTTTTACAACTTCAGTAATACCGTTAATAAGTCTGGAACTCTATTAACAATTTCGGTATAATATTTACTAACAAGTTTTCTTAAAAATTCAAAAAAAATAGAATTTTTACAATTTTAGCAACTACTTTTTTTTGAAAATTTTTATAACTTTAGTATAACGGTTAACAACTTTTGTAATGCTATTAATAATTTCAGTATAATAGTTAACAATAGGTTTTCTAAAAAATTCAAAAAGTAGCATTTTTACAACTTTAGTAATGCGGTTAACAAGTCATGTAATGATATTAACAACTCTCATGTCCATAGTGACTACCTAATACGTTAAAAAAATTTGTTGTACAACTTTTATAGGGAGCTAATATTAAAAACATCAATATCTATGAGAGTTATTATTATTATTACACGACTTGTTAATTGTGTTACTAGAGTTGTAAAAATGCTTTTTTTTTTAAATTTTTCAGAAAAACTTGTTATTAAATATTATACTGAATTTGTTAATAGAGTTGCGAAACTTGTAAACAATATTACCGAAGTTGTAAAAATGCTACTTTCTGAATTTTTTGGAAAATCTATTGTTAACTGTTATACTAAAATTGTTAATAGCGTTACAAAAACTATTATTCGTTATACTGAAATTGTAAAAATTTTCAAAAGAGAGTAGTTGCTAAAGTTGTAAAAATACTATTTTTTAAAAAACTTTTAAAAAAAACCTGTTGTTAATACAGTTACGGAACTTGTTAAGATATTACTAAAGTTGTAAAAATACTACTTTTTGAATTTTCTGGAAAACTTGTTGTTAATTGTTATACTGAACTTGTTAATAGCATTACAAAAGTTGTTAACCATTATATGAAATTATAAAAAATTTTAAAAAAATTTCTCCAGGGTCAGTTGGCCAGTCAGGACTTTGATTTTTAAAAAACAATAAATAAAATAAAGAGTAATATGATCATTTCAGTAAATTTATAAACATCAAATTAATTACTTGCGACTAAATTAAAATTTTATAAATTCAAAAAACTATTTTAATATTTTTAAGTTTAAGTATTATTTTTGTGTTAATTTTTTCAAATAAAAAATCTTCTCCCGCTAGGGGCAGGAGCACTTCTTCAGTGCTTGCAGTGCTGTTTTGTCTTATCCCTACTCCAGGTACAATACCCGCGAGCGCAGCAAGCAGGGAGGATCCAGGTATCGCAATCAGCCAAGCCGTCAAGGCCTTCTCCTTCTCCCCCGCGAGTGTCGTCTCTTCAGCCTCTCCTCACCCATCATTCCACAGCCCTCACTCCTCACCCAAAAATCTGCTCTCAAAGTTCCCATGGCCGTATCTATCACATTCTCCCGGCTCCTCTCCACCACCGCAACTTCCACCGCCACCGCCACTTCATCTCGCCTCCCTTCCAAAGCATTTTCATCCACCCTCTCTTCTAAATTCTCTATTACCCCTTCATCCCTCAAATTCAACCATCGCCGCCCTATTTCTCTCCCACTCGCTGCTTCTTTCACTACCAAATCCACCATTTCCGCCACCATCTCCGTCGGCGACAAGCTCCCCGAAGCCACCTTTTCCTTCCTCGACCCTGCCGGCGATGTCAAGACCGTCACCGTTTCCGAACTCACTAAGAGCAAGAAGGCCATTTTCTTTGCTGTTCCCGGCGCCTTCACCCCAACCTGTTCCCAGAAGCACGTTCCGGGCTTCGTCGAGAAATCCGCCGAGCTCAAATCGAAAGGCGTCGATACAATTGCCTGCATTTCGGTCAATGACGCCTTCGTGATGAAGGCGTGGAAGGAAAACTTGAAGGTCAACGACGAGGTGCTTCTCTTGTCCGACGGCAACGGGACGTTCACCAAGGCGATTGGGTGCGAGCTCGATTTGAGTGACAAGCCTGTTGGATTGGGTGTGCGGTCTAGGCGGTACGCTCTTCTGGCTGAGGATGGTGTTGTGAAGGTCTTGAACTTGGAGGAAGGTGGTGCGTTCACATTCAGTGGTGCAGAGGATATGCTGAAAGTGCTCTAAAATCTAAAACCATGGTGAGCTAGGCCTTGATTAGTTTCTAGTTTTGCGGATTAGTATGAGATTACTGTTTGTATTTGGCTCAGTGAATGAACCTTAATATGATGAATAAACTGACCCAGTCTTGGCGTTCTCACGAATAACAACAAGTTTTGTTGTGATTTATTACGAACCGTTAGTGATTTCGTGGTGATCTAGGCTTCATGCACTAACGAAAAAAGAAATGAAAAGGATGGGATGTAACAGTAATTGTTTACGCGCAAATGGTCGAGTGTTTGATTTGATGGAAGGGCGTTTGTAATGTTGCCTGTCTGGATTATTTTCTGGCATTAAAACCGTGAAACATGGTCAACAATTCAAAGAAAATAATAAATATGTTTTTGGATACTATTAGGTAATTGGGACTCCAATTTATTGGAATATGATGATCGCTTTGAGAATGAATGTACCGCTTCACACTCTGAAATTTTACCTGATGCAACTTACCCGTTTTTTCTGTGCTGCCTTATCGTTCCGGTATTGAAATTTGGAGTTGCAAGTTTTCATTTATCAAGTTGGGATTGGAAAGGATTTTATATTGAACTTGTTCAGTACCAGCAAATGCGAGCAAGAACCAAATTGAATAATTTTGTTTTTTTAGTTCTCACGTTGTCATTCCCACATAGTTTGTACATGGCAGGGCAATACTTCTAGGCGACTATTTAATTTATTTCTAATACATGTGCAATAGTTTGTATGTGGCAACTAAATGCCTTGTCTATTGTTTTAGAATGTCAAATGAATGATTGGTCATTTATTTATTCCCAGTATAAACGTATAACACTTATACAGATGTTTATATTGCACTTTGTTATCATTCATATTGCCTTATAAATTTGATGTGTGCCATGCCATGCTGCACTATGGACCATCTTACAAACGTTTGACGGGATTTAATGTTTAGCCTTGTCTTATTGTAATTGTTGAAATACTCCTTATATTGACCATCTTAATGGTTCTTGGATGACTCCTGATAAATATGTTATGGATGTATGCTTTTTTCTCATATATGCTAATTGAAGATAATTGAAAAATCTATGGCTAAGTGTTGTGTTCAATAACTTCAATAGCCCTTTCAGTACTTTGAGTGCATTATTGGATTTGCAGTTAGTGGTTGCCTAGTTGGTTAGGAAAATACAATGAGCTAAAATGGAGCACATTTAAAAACAAATAAGATCATAGAAAAGCTTAATACCAAGTTTCACGTACTGTCTCTAGGTTTTTATGGTTTGCATATTTTGAAATGCATTCATGGCCTTGGGGGATGACGGCATGAATGGAATGCATAATTAATCTAATCTGTTTGGAGATAACTTTGCATACTAACCTTATTTAGAATGTCAAGGTATTTCCTTTTCTAGAATTACTTAATTGGCATATACTAAATTTGGTAGGAAGTCTAAGCTATAGGTTCCTATGAAATTTATTTAGGTCGCCATCAGTCCATGATCTCATTGGAACCAACCTAACTCGTTGAAATTGATCTGAGATTTTGGTTTTGTAAACGTCCTAAGTTACTTTATGCTTTATTTTCCGTGTTACCCTGGATGTATCTGGACTGGCACATCCGCTAGGGTCCACGGGAAAACTCTGGCTGAAACAAGGACAAGTGGATAATCTAATTCCGGATAGGACTGACTGGTGAAGTTGAACTGGATAGGGGATTTGAATGAAATCCCTTATTCTGCTCCTTAAACCAACTTAACTTTTGGTTTTATGCTTTTTAGTTGTGTATTATTTGAGGTGGGAAATTAAGAGATATAGTTAAGAAGCAGCTCTTGATGGAAGTGTAGAACTCAGACTATGCCAAACTGGGTTAAAATGTGAATCCTCAGATAGAGTTGCCTTGAGAAATAAAAAAATTCCAATTAGCTGCATAGTAGAATGGAATGGACGCTCTTGTGCTGTTGCCTTGTTCTTACGATGGTTTGTTTTCGGCTGACAATGGAAATTTCATGGAGAAATATAGATACTATTCCATGATGTTGCAGGTCCATATAGGCTTGAGATTAGGAGTTTGGATAGAAGTTTGGTGGAGAATCAGCCGAAGTCATGGAAGGATGTGGTCTGCCATTATAGACTGCCTATATTCCAGCCGGATTTGCTTGCTTGTTATTTCTGTAGAACACCCATTTTCCCCCACTTATCTTCGTTTTGTTTTTAATTTGTTGGATGAATTCAAGACTGATGTAAATTGATTGATCAGTGATTTCAGTTAATTCCCAGCTGCAGTTACGGATACAAATTTTCGTGGAAAGTTCCGGAATTTGACCAGAAATCCCTTAATGTGGGCACCGAATTTGTCACTGTTACCAGTAGAGACACATCTACATGAACGTTTTGGTTCTTCCCCTTTTGGGCATGAATAGAAAGAAAATATTAGAGTTTCTTCCCCTCGTCCACTATAAACACACTTTTAGGAAGATTTACTACAGACAAACATTTTCAAAACTTGAACTTGTTTGGAAATTTGTCTACATCAGGAACAATTGCTGTTTCATTAATGAGTCCAATCTTCGTATATTGTTGCAAGTTGATCATGATTAGTTAACAGGGATCATGATATGAAATGCCTGCCCCTCCGCGTTGTGTCTTATATTGCCTATTGATCTGTATAATGAGCATTAGGGAGCTGTCATGTCTTGGTCGGAGGGTGGGCAATTGGGTGAGCTATCTAATCCATTGCATCATCTTCTACGATCAAAATAACCTGTGCAAGCTCATGCTCATTCACTGGCTGATTTGTATATCTTTAATGGCTTGGTAATCACCTGATGATTAATTTGTGCAAAAGTGTGCCTTTTTTTAAAATGTGCTTTTTAGTGAGTGATTTTAGCGTCTATTCCTCTAATTGAAAAGAAAAATATGCCTTTTGTTTTGTTTTGTTTTGTTTTTTTTTTAAATATGTAATCACTAGTGCGAAATCATATTCTTATCTCATCTCATCTATGGCATTTCCTAAAGGAGTTACTTATATGTAATCACTAGTGCGAAAAATATAAGCATTAATGCTTTTTTTTTTTTTGGAATAAGGTACTACAAATATCCTCTATAACTAGTAATTTTTTTCAAGAGCGTGGAGGAGAAAAAGGGAGTTACTTATAGATAGAGCTGCTCAATATGATGCTAACAGGGTGTTTGTTTCAACTTTTCTGAAGCGCACACAGGCGAAATTCTTTTCATTGGTACAGTCCTGTCCAAGAAACTAATAGTCTAATACCAAGGAACAAAAAAGAGTCACCGGACCCTGAATCGGTTGAGATAATAGTTCAAGGGTAAGTGAGTAAAACTGAGGTCAAATCGAGATCAAACTGGTCATATTAAAATAATATAATTTATTTAAAAATAAGAAAATATAATAACATTAATAATCATTAATAACAAAATATAAAAAAATATAACAATAGTTTGATTGTAACAATAACAAAGCACAACAACATTGAAAATTTTGATATTTACGATTCTTCAATAACTAAAATTAATAATTGTTGATATCAAAATCATCGTTAAAATTCTACTAACTGAGATGTTAGGAGTTGAATGAGAAAAAATAGGACTAATAGTAATATAATCATTCAAACTGATTTATAACTGGTTTTTGTTGGTTTTTACCAGTTCACACCTGTTTGATTCTGGTTCAATATTTGGCTAGTTTGACACTTGAACCAAATCGAACCATTGGCTAATTCACTAATTTTCCGGTTGAACTAGCCAATTCGGCATGATTTTTTCTTCATGGACTAATACATACAACCTAAGTTCATGAAGCATTCCTTCCACTACTAAATGTTTATAAACATTGGTGCGCAAGACCTTATTGAAAATTTTGGTTTGATTTTTAATATAAGATTCTATCTTTCTTTTTCACTTTCAATAAATATTTTTTCTCAAATGCTCTTTTTTCCCCCTTTAGTCAACGGAAAGGATTAAATATAGTGAAATAATTGCATGGAAATTTAATAAGAAAATATTACAAATTTTTAATACATTAGTTATAAATATCTAATTTAACAAGGGTGATCAAATTAAAGTTAACAAGGGTGATCAAATTCTGGTAAAAAAAAAAAAAAAGGGTGATCAAATTACAAATAATGATAATCATGTGAATTCAGGTGGAAATTGAAAATGACAATTGAACTGTATGATCGGGATTCTGGGAAGTGGCAACTTCTCCCACAATGTGGCCTGAAAATAGCATATAACCCGCGAAGAACATTTTCACTGCTCTAACCTAACTATCGCTTTCTTCCCAGCAAATCACAGCGTACATGGTAGGCACACTATACAGTAAAAGCATCGGGCTGGACCCACCGAACAAATTCCTCCTTGTGGAACGACGCCGTTCGGCGGATTACGCAGCCTGAAAAATAATGTCAGAGATGAAAACGTGAACCGTTGATTATGAAACAAACGACCCGGAAGCCGGAGAGCAAGGACGTGAACCCTAGGAACAAAAAAGCCGCGTATCCCAGGGATATCGCGATGTCTGCTTGCACACAGAACGCGTTGCTAGCCGTACACGTGTCCGTTAGTCTCAGCCTTCTGGCCATCGACGTCCCCGCAGCACTCGCCGCGAGCAATAGGTACGCGAATACCTGCACACACAGGATCAGCCCACCGCCACAATCATTCTCATTTCTCAGAGAAGAAGATAATCGGGAAAAAATGAGGTTAAAGCACGCGCGCGGGGGCGGGAGGGAGAGAGAGCTTATAATTGGAAAGGAAGGGATTGAAATTTGTGACCTGGTCATGGCCGAAGTCGAACCAGACTTGAAGAACTTCGGGGAAAATCGTAACTCCTCTGGAGATTTCCCACACAGACGCTCCCATTTCGAACACACAGTACACGGCCACAATAGCATTCGCAGCAAGTACGAATCTGTAAGTTTTTTCAACTAAATTCATTAGTTCCCTCATTTCTAAGCTCTTTGTTACTGCATATTTTGTGGTTTCATTCACAAAATTAACGAATGCACAAGCAAGTCTTCGCTTAAAAATTCGCATTCTCAATAAGTTTTGGGATTGAAGCCAAACAATACTGAAAATTGAAGTAGGGAAGTAGCTTGCTAAGGTTGGGTTATGAATTAGGATTATATTAGGAACCTTGTTATTTTCGGTAGCAGAAGTAGGGTCGGGGTACCTGAAGGTGTCGAAGTCGTACCAGTGAGGAGAATCGGAGCCGCGAGTGTTGGTGAGCATGAAGACGAAGGCGGCGAAGGAGAAGGAGAAGGAGGTGAGGCGGAAGACGAGGATGAGGGAGTTGAAACGACGCAGTTTGCGTTCGGCCACAGTGGAGTGGAAACCGGGGGTGGGAGAGCGGGTGTCGCCGCCGTTACGGAGGGCCTGGGGGGATCTCATGGTGGCTGACGGTGAGAATTGGGGAGACAACGATGCTGGCGTTGTAAGCAGCAATATGAGAAATCATGTGGGAATGAGAGGAGAAATCATATCGGGTAGTTCAAGTAAGGAATATGAGCATCAATGGCTGCCTCTGAGTTTCGAAGAAGGAGATAAGAGTCTCACGAGAAAGGGGGGGGGGGCGAAGGGCAAGAGTTGCATGAGGAACCCAGAGGAAAGAGGTGAGGAAATGAATGAGAACAAAGATGGTACAAGAAGGGAAAGGCAGAGAGAGAGAGAGAGAGAGAGAGAGAGAGAGAGGTGGCTGATGGATAGAGGCAGCACAATTAAATTAAAGGGACTTTTTCCCCTGAAGAGCATATGAGAGAGAGAGAACGCATGGAATGTTGAATAGAAATTGGGGAAAATATATTTATAATTTTGTGAAATATAAATGAAATGAAATTAAAAAAACACTATCGTTCATATTGCTTTCAATGAATCAATGTCATTCTTTCTGAAAGCTGAATGAGTAACGTAAGAAACAGGAGGTTGACGGAGTACTAGCCTTAGCCCAAGCACCAGCAGGTTAGAGCATCTATTCTCTGTTGGTTAGGTTTTAATTGCTTTACTATCAGTATTAAAGGTTTAAATGATGAAATATATATTGGCTAGAAAATAAAGAGAAGAGAGGAAAGTAATTAAAAAAAAGTGAATTTTGAAAACATATTTTTTCTTTAATTTTATTTGACTTTTTTTGTTGTTAAGATAATAGATAGATAGATAGATTGTATTTCGTCCAGCCAAGGAGGTTTATTCCGGCAAATGAGATCTTATGAGTTATTTTAGAATAAACTTTAAAAATAAAAAGAGAAAAAAATGATGTAGGATTCCCTTAAGTGATATTCCTATTTATTTACAAAAATGATTGCGTGATATTCATAAAACAAACAAAGTTTTTTATCCTTCTTCTTCTTTTGGTTTTTTTTTTCTTGCGTCATTTGGGCTTTAATGTAAGAAGAAATCCCATAAAAAAACTAAATCTCAAATCACGAATTCTGACAGAAATGTGTTGAAAATAATATTAATTCAGAATTTAGTAATTTTTATGTTGTTTTTGTGAGATTTTTTTTAATGTAAAATGTAAAGTATTTAAGAAAATCTCAATTTATGATCTAATGTAGACAAGGAAAAAAAAAGTGCTGAGGATTTCATTCGGGAATCGGCATCTCTACTTTTTATTTTAGCAGAATTACACAGGCTTCTGGCAAAAGAAAAAAGAAATACTTGTGAGTTTTTAATTTTAAAAATAGTTATTCTTGAAAGGATTTAATTATAATTTTAAGAATATCATATTAATCGTTAATCAATGATTCATTCCTTTTCTTTGGGGGAAGCCGTTTCATTATTTTTTTTACAGCTTTCGTTAAAATTAAATTATATTTAGTTAATGAATATTTATTTTCATACATCCTATCACTATTAGAATACCCTGAGTGAGAAATAGTAATTAACTGATCGGTGGATGAATTTGAATTGTCAACCCAAGAAGACAGGTGGGCCTAACGATGATTCAGATTGGAATTAATATTCAAATTTTATTTTGATTACTTTGACCCTAGTGTCTCGTGTTGCCTGGGCATTCCATGCACATGTCAATGGACGAAATACAAACTATCCACGTTGTCCGACCAAGAATGGAATGATAATCATGGAGATGTCGTGTTACATGATTAGAACTCACCTCCATTTTCTCAGCATGTCTATTTTTACCTTTAACAAGTTACAACTATGAACTGATCTGATCTTGGGTATTCATAAAATATTTAGTACTGAAAGCTATTCACCATCAAAATTTTAGGGTGCTATAATAATGGGTTTACAATTTTTTTCCTAAAATTTTCACACGCCCTCGTTAGGCTTTAGCTTCATTCCTTGCTAGTTTGTGTGTGTTTATCATCAAGGGTATGTTTGGATGAAACCAAACCGTGGTTTGGAAAAGTGATTCTGGAGAATAGATTCTGAGGAGAATAGATTCTGGAAAGAATAGATTTTATGAAAAAGTGATTTTGAGAAGTGAGAGTGTTTGGATAGTTGTTATCAGAAACACTTTTTATATATACAAATTATTAAAAAAAAGACATAAGTTAATATGATAATTACAGAAAAAATAGATTTTATGATATATTTTAATTTGAAGGAATAAAATTGTTAATAATATATTTTTTATTAACATAATTAATAATACATAAGATAATATAATTAATAAATAATTAATATGTATATATATTTATAAAATATAAGATTAAATATATTTATAAAAAAAATAATAAGATACATATCCTATAGGCTCTCACACTCTCCCTTTTTCTTCAAAAGCAAAATTTTTTTTGTTTTTTCAAAACCATAGTTTTGGTTTTTGGGTGGGTGTTTGGGTGATTTATTCCCCAAACCATGGTTTGGGATGTCACCCAAACACAGCTTAAAACTGATGAGTCACTCTAAGCTCATCAAATCTGCATCGCATAGATTTGATATGGACAGTCCATATTTAATTTATTTTTGTTTTTATTTGTTTAAAATAGTTATTTTAATAGGCATGGAAGATCTTTTTTAAAAAAATAATTTTTTTATTTAAAATAATTAATTAAAAATTTTAAATCTAGACCGTTCAGATTAGATTTGGACAGTTCATATTTGATGAGTTTACGGTACTGATCACTTGATGAGCATTCCGTTTATCATATGGTACCTCGTTATTTTGATTAGGTTATTTATATCTTTTATTACCAAACACATTTCTTCACTTCTTGTATGTTTATGGAATTTAAAAAATTGGTTACGCTATTTTTATTGATGAATAGTGCGATTTGTCCTCTATTTATAATATATATTGATGATATTGATTATACTGATTTTAATTACTCATTTAATTTTTATTCTTTAAAAATCTTGTAATTGATTGTTGTTTTGAATTTCAATTTTTATTTTCTTTCGTATGTCACGAAAAACATTTGTGCTCTTGCCATTTTAGTTCTTGTCCGTTTACTATACTGATCTTATGATGATTTATTATTCGAAGTGATTACTAGGATTATATGGGTTAAATACTTTTTTCAGACAAGAAACTCCTGCATCATTTGCTTAGTTTTTGGTTTTTTTCTTCAAGAAACTTGAAATATAAAAAGTACTGAAAACTGCATTATTCAAAAGTTATGAACAATATATTTCGTTGCAAACTTTCTACAAATGCAAAAGACCCACTATTACACGGATAATAAAAGGAATGCACAAATATTGATGGCCATAAAAAGCGCACAAATATTCAACCTGTTTATCTATATTTATCTGTATTAATATTATTCTATATTTATACTTTCTTATAATAATCATGCAGTCTAACATCTCATTGCTGTTTCAACATTTCACTTTCAGAGGCCCTAAGTTTTCGAATCGATATCACCTGAAGTTTGGGCCTGTGAAGTTCTAGGTAAAGTATTAATACTCTATATATGCCTATCTTTATATTGCATAATAAGATTTATATATAACACAATTTACTGGTACATTTGGTAGAATTTTAGATGTTAAATTTTAGAGAATCCAGATTCCCTAACTTCACTACATAAATGCTTTAATAATTCCTCCTGAATTACATGTACTTTCCTCCCCAAAAGATCTCTTTACATCTGAAGGCCTCCAGTGTTCATCTTCCATGAAAGAATTCCATTTCTGGCTCCTCCATGCTTTGTTCTCAGCATTCCATTTCATCCAATCATGCAAGGACCAGTTTGAAAAACCCCTCCAGTGCTCAGGCAGACTAATTCTCTCCAGCGTTTCTGCGTTCTGGGCAAAATGTTTTGAGTTCTTTGTCACTTGTCAGGTATGAAGAATTATATATTATACTTAATTTTTTCAAGCTTTCACACTGATAATTCTCACTGTAGCACTCAATTAAAGGGTCTCAAATCAGAGTTTGGTCAACACTGAAACAAAAATGGGCATCTAACTAAATTTCATATTGTTGTATTCACTTATTTTAAAACTCAAACAAGTCTCAAGTCATTTTGACTTTTGTGTGCAGACATGAAATAATAACTTCCACTTATTATTCGTTGTCTCCTCTTGAACTGCCTCATTTTTTAGACATAATTAATATTTTATATTACTGCTGTTTGACTTCTAAGGGCTTGCACATTGAACTATTGAACGTACACCAGATGATGGATTATAGTAGTCACCATTTTTTTTTTTTTTTCAATTCAGAGGTTCAGTATTTGAGTTTTTCTTATTTGGTATATTGGGGTGATTTCTTATAAAACTTATCCTTCAAAGTGAATTCAGGTGATCAGCAAGATCTTGCAGTGGATTTTGGAGACTGACTTTATTCTTAACTCATTAAATCATCAACGCGAGTTCGTATTTTTCACATTCTTTGTCTCATGACTTCCTTTCTTTCTTGTTCAGCTCCAGAAGACATGAAAGCATTTTGAAGGAAAAGATGCTCCTTAGTGCTAAACTATCTCCTTTTTTCCTAATTATTGCTTTATTTGCTTCTTTCTTTTAGTCTTTGTATGATAAAAAACTTAAAAACAAATAATTTCTTCTTTCACCAGCGTTGATGTTTAGGTGGTGCAAGTGTGATAATAGATAAGCGCAATACATGTTCTATTATTCTTTATAACGAGTTAATGATTGATCTTATCTCAATATGAGAAAAACAATCTTTTGGACCTGATTGAACAAGAAACAGATTTTTCATTGCCAATATTTATGCAAGATTGAACATCTGCATGCTGCCTAAAATTTTATGGCGACTGGAATTTATAGTTTTCTATATAGGAAAATTGGGTTATAGTCTTATATTATGTTTTAACTCAATGTAGTTGAAATTGGTATTCTGGTAACTTGATACTATCATATGACTTTGGTATTATGATCAATTTTGGCCAGAGTATTAAAAGACAAAATGGGACCTATTTTGATGAACTAGTCTTGGAGAGCAGTTGACTTGCTACATTTTATATGGGATGAGACTTGTATGAATTTATTATATTTCCACTATGAAGTTTTCAAAAATATATATATATTCTTTTTCTTTTTAAAATTTTTTTTTTCTTTATAAATTTTTTTAGGAACATAAATTCTGACCTAACTCTAATTTTTTTTTTCCAACCTCATCTAACCTAATCAAATATAACCAGATTTACCTGGGTTGGTTGGATTACAAGTTTGGCGTACACCCCTAAGTTTATGGTTTACGGAATCTTTCTTTCTTTGCTTCCCCTTAAAAACTGTTTTTTTTTTCCAGAAAAAAAAAAACCTTTCTGGGTAATGATGGGACTGGTCCACCTGAGTGTGTTTTGGTCTAAAGTGTGATTAAAGCTAAAGTTTCCCGGTAATGACTTGCAAGTGTAGTCATATTGATGTTTTGTGTGGCTTTAAAACTATTAAACGGACTATTGTTACCTGAGGAAAGAGCCTAATTAAGGTATCTATCACTAACAATTTTTCCGTCAAAATGATAAATTACATTTCCCCCGGTTTTCTTCCATTGAGAGGAGGCTGAAAGTGTCAGTTGTTACCCACAAAGTTTTATCTTATCACTGGAAAAAGGAGCTCCACATCTTTTCTTGCTTATAAATATATATATATATATATATATATATATATATATATATCAATTACTTTTGCACTGTGATTTAAGGATAAAGATGAAATCACTGAGTATTGTGGGCCTTGTTCTGGGTGTAACTTTTGGCTGCTTTCTGATACTTCTGGTCGCTGAGGTTTGCTACTTCTTGTGCTGGAAGAAGAGAACAAGTCATACAGATTCAGAAAAGGACATCAACATTACTGGGAAAGACCTATTTCAAATGTTCTGTGAAGAAAGGTCAGGTTTTAATGATGATCCGGAAGGGCAAGTTCAAACACAGACTTGCAGGTATCCTCGGAGTCCAAGATTCTTATTCACAATTGAAGAAGGAATTAAGGAGGGTTCAGAATCTGAGAGCGTGAACAAGTCCAGTTGTAGAGTTAGTCCATGTGATTCTTTCATTGTGGAGACTCCATATTTCACACCTTTGGCTTCAGCTTCACCTTCTTTAACTTCTCCCCTTGCTCTCCCTCTGAGTGTGAATCCTCATTTTCAATCGGCAAATGATGATCCTGCAGATTTTAATAGAGTAAAGCCATCAACTCCACCTACAAGATTCAAGTTATTAAAGCCTACACAGGAGAAACCCAATTGAGAATAGCAGAGTCAAGGAAAGGGGCAACACAAGCTAGGCCACAACGCTCAAGGTAGGCTATGATGCTTTTTATGTGTTTACATGTTTTTAATTTCTACTTGAAGAGACATAGAATGTATAAGATCTTATAGAAAGTACAAGATACTGTCAGAATAATGAAAGTCACTTAAATGTATATAACTTGTTACCTTTGGCCTGTACGTCATGTTTATCTTCCTTCTAAAGGGTGTGTTTGGATGAAACCAAACCATGGTTTGGAGAATAGTTTCTGGAGAATAGATTCTGAAAAAAATAGATTTTGGGAAGAATATATTTTGTGAAAAAGTGATTTTGAGAAGTGTGAGTGTTTGAATAGTTGTTATTAGAAGTACTTTTATATATACAAATTGGCATAAATTAATATGATAATTATAGAAAAAATATATTTTATGATATATTTTAATTTGAAGGAATAAAATTGTTAATAATATATTTTTTATTAACATATTAATAATATATAAGATAATATAATTAATAAATAATTAATATGTATATATTTATAAGATATAAGATTAAATATATTTATAAAAAATATGTTTAAAAAAAAACAAGATACATATTCTATAGGCTCTCACACTCTCTTCTTTTTCTTCAAAAGTAAAAAATTTCTGCTTTTCTCAAAACCATGGTTTTGATTTTTGTAAGGGTGTTTGGCTAACATTTTTCCCAAACCATGATTTGGGTCCCAAAACCATGGTTTGGGGTGCTTGCGAAACACGCCCTAAATTGACATGAAAACAAAATTAATGTTTTATGAAGTCCAGATCCTTTCAATTTTTCTTTAAAATTGACAGGGTTGATTTTCTTTCTTTCTTTCTTAAATGTTTTGAAAACTTGGATGGACTAATTTATTCCATCAGTAAATGGGTATATTAGATTCTGATTCGAAGTATCTTATAAAAATAAAAACCAATTAATTGTCAAGGAAAGTTGATTTCCAGTTGCTAAGGATTTATTCATACCTTACAAGGGATTCAATAGAGACCTAGAAGGCATAAGACCAGATGAAAATTATGATATTCACTCAAGTAATGAAAATAATTTTGATGCGTAACATTCCGACCGCATAGATTGTGCATTCTTCTTTATAATTGATTGATATTTTACATGGTTGATTATGAAAAAAAGAAAGAAAGTGATATTATAAAAATATTAACCAAGTTTTTCATGAATTGCCGAATTAGGTCTTGATGCAATATATAAAAAAAAAATAAAAATCAATTTAAGCCCTTTGCTCCTTTCTAATTTCTTCCAGCAAACAAAATTACAAAAGAGAAACTCAGCTGAGAATAGCAAGATAGTTTAATGGTGTTTAATCCTTTTTAATTTATCCCATAGAACGTAAAATCCAATCAAGTCCTCCAGTCATAAATATAAGACCTATACACTATGAAATAGGTCTTACATTTAGGATTAGATGAGTATTATTTTTAAATTTTTACGATATTGTGTTTGTCTCACATCTAACACCAAAACCAAATAAATGTAGCATGTGCATTATGCATCTCAGAAATTTTGTAATATGATTCAATAAAAGTCATGTAGTGAATACTCTTAAATCATCACAAGACAATAGTTTGGTGGCTCCAAACCAACTTAAATCATTACTAGACAATACTTTGGTAACTAAAACAGTAATATGCACCGATCAAGGTGGCAGGCTTACACTCTTCACCTAATTTTAGAAGAAGAAAAAAAACCATGACCAAAGCAATTGACTGACAATGGAACAACTCGGCGCATCCAAGCCTAAAAACTGATAAATTAAAGACCCCCTGCAGCTAGTCCTGTTATCCCCAGTTCAGGGAAAAGTGATAGCAAATCAGGTTCTTCCAGGAGACTGAAGGCAGTAAATCCATAGTAAGAGTGGTACAGATCCGGAAAGTCGCCGGGGACTTTACCAAACCCGCCATACTGGTGAAGAACCAACATAAGCAGCTTAAATTAGTCACAGACAGCCAAGAATCAGGGTCTAAGAGGCATAAAGATTTAATATCATCACATCATCAATATATATATATATATATTATATGTGAAAGCTCATCAAGAATCGCAGTTTTTCACTTCCTAGAGAACAAGGGGCGTGTGGTCCTTCGAGGCGTCACTTTAGTTCTCATTTCAACAATTTCTACCATGGATGACTATGAGGCAAAACACCAATGGATTTCGGAACACTAGTATCCTGATTACCAAGTACTTCCAAAAAAAGCATAGTCATAGCATGTTGGACTAGAACAACCTTGGCATTTGCTTAATGTTCACCAATAGTTGGCAAGTTCCATTAGCATCAAAGACTCCATGCATGGGACAAAATCTATATTACATTATATGGTTTTTGTTTTTTTCCTTTTTTTTGGGGGGGGGGGTGTGGGGAAGGCAAGCTAGGACAAAGAAAGAGGATTGGCAAGATTAGGGGTATTCATGGGATGGGACAGGATCGCGACAACCCTGTCATCCCTATAATTGGGACGAGATGGCCTCTTCATCTTGTGTCCTGTCTTGTCCTAATGATGTCTCCTCCCAAACAGGGACAGGACATCTTGTTTATTTTTGTTAAAAAATTTTTAAAATTTTTTTATTTCAAAACTAAATGTATTTATAGCATAAATACTCTTAATAAAAATTATATAAAGAAAAAAATATAAAAATTGGCTAAAAAATTGACAGTAATAAAAAACTAACAAAGAAAAATGCTTCTTTTTGAAAGACAAAAAATATATAAACTCAAAATATTCCCAAAAAAAAATCATATAACCCATACAGAAAAAATCATAAATTGTAGACAACATAATTATAAAATTATATTATTATTATTACATTGATGGTAAGTAAAATAAATTTATAAAATTAAAAAAATAATATACTGGGATGGAACTGGACACCCCCTTCTCATGTCTTGTCCTGTTCTGAGACATTTTTGTCCCGTTCTGATTTTGTCTTCCCAAAAATTCAGTTTCAGGGCATTTCGGGACAATCTAGTCCCAAAATGACTGGGACCAGGACCATACACAAGGAGCACCTCCTAGGCAGGATAACAAAAGAGTTCATTCAGCCCCTCATTGTTCCCTTGTCTCTCTCAACTTTAGCCCTCTCCTTCCATAAAACTGGAAACTTACCATTTTTCTAATAAACTTTGCAATAAAAGCAAGGTTAACTTATCATTATTTTTCTTGCATTTTCTAAAGATACAAATCTGACATCTCATTTCATTGTTCCATAAAACCAAAATACACCATCTTGTATACAGAAATTAGTGATTGCAGTACCTCAGATTGACAAGCAAGCAGAAATCCACGAAGAGCTCCTTTGTCAATGAAGTTGTGGGCCCCCAAAATCCTCAAAACTGCACCAATCCTATATATGCACACGATTCTGTCAAGGCTATGAAAAATTTATAATGCTGTACCCTGGAATTCCCAATAGCATCTAACACCACTTACCAAAATGCATAGCACGTGTCACTAACTTTATTAGGTCTACCTTGAAAACCACCATCGGTCCCCAGCCTCTGAAATAGAAGAAATAATTAAAGTATCTTGATCAAGAAAGAACATTTCAAGTGCTAAAAGTTAACAATTCCAAAATGTTAATGAAGGATAATTATCAAACCATTGTTTCAATTTTCAAAAGCTTTTGCGGAACAAACCTGCACAAGCCAATCCAGTAACAATGGTACATCTATCACAGGACTCATAGCAGAACTCGAGAGAAGATCATCTTCAAGAAATCCCATAAATCGGAGGGATGCAATAGCACAATAAGTTGCCCCGCCTATTCCATTAAAAAAAACTAATGTTGATAGATATTATTTCGGAAATACCAGCAGGCATAAGGCATAATCATGATGAGCCCATTTAGAATGACTTATAAGTAGCTTTTAAATCGTAATTTACAGAATGTGAGATAAGTGTGTAAAAGAAATTATCTCGATTTATGTAAAATGTGCTTATAAGTGTTTATAATCGCCAACCCAAATGAGCCTGATATTCAACAAACATGAATTTATATTGATGGGACAAGTTAAAAAAAAAAATTATGAAACAGGGGAAGAGGCCGTGGAACCACACAACAGCAATAACATGGATCATGGATGTAAATGAAGGATACAGGAAGAAGCAAACAGAAGGAAGTTGGTAAACAAACTAGGTATTCTGCAGTTAAAAATGACTTTAACGCTTGACAAAGAACAATATAGAGCTGGACCCAGGTTCGCACTGCTACTACCAACGTGAATGTGAAACATATAATTAAACAGATTTATGAAGCGATAAGCAAGTGCGTTTGGAAAATCATACACCAGAGCTACCACAGCTGATGTAACTAACAACATCGCAACAGCCCGTCTTCCAACATGGAATACAGATAAGTCAAATACTGAGAATTATTTCCAACTCACCATGTGATTCTGCACCAGGAACTAATCCAAAGCCACCATCATAAGACTGAAAAGGCAAGAAAAAGGTGAAGAAAAGCCACAAATTTGATGCATATTACTGCCAGAACAAATAATATTGTAAACCCCAAGAATAGTTGATGACTACGTCTACAAACCTGACAGCATAATATGTAATCCTTGGCCTTTTCTTTGTCCATGCCGCTCCAGTCATTCAACATGAAACAGATGGCAGCTGATACAGTCCATAAGTAATACTGATACGAAATAACATTGTCATTCCAGTAAATAAGCTAAATAACATCTTAATTATAACTCTTACCCGCACAATATATGAATCGCAGATCTTTTTCAGCCCCAGTATGGATGGGCATAAAGCTATCACAAGAGATGCACAATTTTAGTGAATAAGAACTATTCTGAATTACAATTTACGGAGATCAATTTTAAATGGAATGAAAATTGATTTAAGCATATCATCAAGGTGTAAACTCGAAACCACATACTGAAAAGTAAAGGAATATGGATGCAGGGAATTAATAAGAGTATTACTTAAGGTTCCAGAAATTTAAAAGCATACCTTCCATCAGGCTGCTGAAGATTTCTCATTGATGTCAATACTGATTCAAAGTCATTGTTGGACAGTTTATAACCAACAATTTTTAATATGGCAAGGGCACAGTAAGTGCTTGCCAAGTGACTGTTGTTGGGAAGTGAAACCTAGCAGAATTACATTTTGATAAGTTACTTAACATAAAATGATTGGGATAACAAGTTTACAAGAAAAACCAAAGCACTTGCTCGACATATTTTTGAAGAAACAAATGTACATTGTTCACCAAAACATAAAACTCGGAACAACATGTTGAGGCACTTTACACGTTTCTTCATACCCCATTATCAACTTGAGGAAACTGTGGAGTCCTGGAACCGAGAAAACCAAAGAATTGTCCTACAGGGGAAAAAAAAAAAAAAGGATAGCCACATCAACTTTACTTATAGGTTCAGTCAAATATTAGAGATAATATGTTGCTAAAAGCCGTATACAAATTTCATAAGAAGCATTTCATACCACTGTTTCTGTCTGCTTGGTTTCTAGGGTGAACTTGCAAGGACAAAACCCAATTGGCAACAGCATCCTTGTCAACCTATAACGTTTGGTAGAACAGGCATACAGTTCACAAGTTAATTGTAATCTTACGATGGCATCTAACGGTATGTTTGAGTGGAGGATAACAAGAAAGGACGGGAAGAGAACCTTTCCCCTGTTTGAGAGTTATTAATAAGAATGTGAGAATAGTGAAGGATTTTCAGTAAACCTTCTGCAATCCTCCGAAGTACTTCCTCCATTATATATCCACTTCATTCACTTTGTGGGATTTGAAGGAAAACTTTTCACCAAACAAGGAAATGGAAAAGAAATAATTTATCCATTAGCCCCCTCCTCTTTATTCCCCTTCCTTGTCCTCCAAAGTCCCAAACATACCCTAACAGAAGTAATTAAGACAGCCAATGATATTAATAATAGCTCAAACATAATATAGCAGCCTAAAGACATTGAGCGACAACTTATTTTGAGTAGCTTCGTCAACAGGGTATCAGTATCCCGACAAGACACAGACCTTTTACCCTAAATGTAAGCTCGTTCAAAAAAATGGAGAAAGGACATAATAGAGGCAAGTAAATGCTGTAAGTTTAAATTGACTATAGACATTGAAGTAAGATGGTCAAAATGCATAATGGTGTTCTAGGTTTAGAGCCCATAACCCTAAGACGTGCCAATACTTATTGTTTGCAGCCATTTCAGTAAACGCCTATATGGCTATATTAGGTTCACATATGGGCCATCTTCACCTGGATTTATTTATTTATGTTTCACCAAAATGTTTCAAACCATGCTAAAACAAAATAAAATTTGGTTAACCTGTTTCCAACCTGCTTTGAAACCCTGACAAGTAAAAAAAATGAAAACATTATCAAAGGAAATAAAATGGGTATAAATGTTGATAAGTATTCTTTCTTAGACCATTATTCTAACATATACCCAGGGAGTACACCTTCAAAGCCTCACCACTGAGACTGAATATGCCAGTGTTAATAAATATTCTTCACATTAAAAAATGTGAAAAATACCTACCATAGCATTTCAGTACCAAAATGAAATCCCAGCTCTCACTGCCTATGTCATGATTTTCACAAAAGTTGACATTATAACCATATCAGTGTGTCATAAATCAACCCGATCCTGCCAATTCATTTACTATTACTGCCATAACTACTAGAACTTATGATATGCTTCATAGAAATGAAAACATGAAAAATGAAGAGGTAAGAACAAGGGAAAACTACATTCTATCCTCGCTGACTGCGACTTAACAACAAAAGTAGCACATGAACTTCTAAAATATGACAAACCAGCCCCATGAAGTAATGCTTGATGTTTTAATACATACTAAAGTTCAAGGGGTGTTATAAGACGTTTAGAAGTTTATATAACAATTTAGAATTCGGGCCATAATTTAGGGGTAAAATGTAGGTGCCGAAAACAATATGTACTTGAACTGATAAATTGTGTTATTCCTTTTTTTTTTTGTGATAATTAAATTGTGTTATTCTAATTTTCCGTTTCCCTTATTATCAAGCACTCCATTAGTCACAGGAATCTCATGGTCTCTATCGCTAATTACCAGAGCAGTCATATATAACTAAATTCTTTTCACTCGAGTGTGCATGAGAAAAATCTAAACTTACGACTGCATAGCTGATATGCATGCCCAAAAGGGCAACCGGTTTAGCTGTACAGTCAAGTTCAATATGAATGACCCGCTATAACGGTTGAAGGAATATTCAACCTAGAAAAAGAGACCCATAATTCACATGTTCAAATCCCATTGAATTATCCCCAAAAGAGGGGAATGATAAATACCCGATCGAGAGCCCCAAGAATGTCAAGTCCGGAGATGACAAAGTAAGCGAGGGTAAGGCGATTGATCTCTTGGAGCTGGTAAGGGGATGGCAGCAACTGGTACATCATCTGAAGGAATGTGATATGACGATCTCGGTCAAATATCGCAGAAAGATGTGCCGATGGGGAAGAGGGAAGTCCCTCCGATGAATTCTCCACGGACTCCATGGAGATGGCTCCCAATGTCAACAAGCAAGTGAAGAACGGAGCGACGACTCAACTCGCCGCTTTACTCATTACTGTCCAACAGTGCAGTGAGCACTAGCAGGAGGCCCTGGGGAGAATCTTGAACGATTGACGCCTTACGCACAAAAAGAAGAAGGCGGAAGGATTATACAACACATTCCATTTGCCCAGAGTTTCTTTAAAAATTTTGAAATTATTATTTTAACCACTTGAGATCCCCCGTCGCCCCTGCCACGGTATTGCATTTTCAGCGTAATTTCCTGTAGACTAGAGATGCTCAAGATGAATGGGTGATGAATGCGAAAATATCCCTCTAATTTTACAACTGACAAAACCCGTAAAACAGCAATCAATCACAAAATGCAAGTTTAGCTAAGTTTTTTTTAAAGGTTGTACAGTACCACTAATTTCATTCTTAATATATCATCTAGTTTGTAATTGAATTTTATATCTAGAGATTTTTGGATAGAAACAAAATCATAGTTGTAAAACTACTTTTACAATATGCAAAATAAATATATGAAGAAATTTATCTCGATTTGTGAAAAAGTAATTTTTAAAAACATAGTATATTTACGATCAGTATTGCATGGGTGGAATTGATAGTCACATGCAAGGGTTCATGAGAGTGTTTGAATAAAAGTTGAATTATAATTTTAAAAATATTTTTATGATTTATGAAATAAATATATAAATAAATTTGTTTCGTTTTATAAAAAAGTAATTTTTAAAAGTAGTTTTGAGGTTTCCAAACACCTCTCAAATAGGCCAAAATAAGAATCATACAAAGTTGGACTTCCTCCCACCCAGTTTATAAGATATAAGATGTGTTTTTTTAAATGATTTGATGGTGCACAAAATAAGATATTTTTTTAAAAATAATGATTTGCTAATGAAATCTATTTCAAAATTATCTATCATTATTTACTTTTTGAATATCCTGATTAACATGATATTTTTGGAAGTTCACATTTGTTTTTAGAAAACTTAAGATATTAAACTAATTCATTCCATTTGTATTCTCAATTTTTTTTTCAAAAAAATCTTATAAAACGAGGTGGAGGAAGTAGTAATGTAGTAATTTGGTTAAAGTTGCAAATACTTTATGAATTATCTTATCATGTAAAAGTATAAATGAAATAAAAGATTTTTTCCGTGCATGTTTAATATCTTCTGAACATATTCTTTTCTATTTTTACTAATTTTTTTTTATTTTTTTCTATATCACTTTCAAAAGATTAAAAATAATAAGCCAGAAATCCCACACCCCCGGCCCAGACTTTTTAGTAATTAACAAAAATAAGAAATGGAAAAAAGAAAAAGAAAAAGAAAAAAAAAAGAACAGGTAATCACTTTTTTCTATGTTCTAAACTAATATGCCCTGATGCTAAACAAATTAATAATTGGATCAGTGAATGAATACCGCGAACGCTAACACCACCGTCTTGTTTGTTGGTCTGCTCGCGCACCCTTCCTCGCTATACCCATACAGCCCTCCTTTGCTCTATTGAGCTCTGTAAGCAAGCTCCTACTTTTGTCGAGCAGGTGGTGGGCATATCACTAACATCGAGAAACCATGAAATCCCGCACTTTGTCATTGGCAGAGAAGTGCAAGGTCCTACTTCTCTATCCATCTCTACGCTTCTATTGGAATTTCTTGGGTTCTGCAGAAGTGAGCATATATTGACTGTTAAATGGTTCTGTTCTGCAGAATATATTGGCATCAAACTGGCAAGGTTATCTCAATACCATCAAAGCAGATGTCAAAGGAAGGTACCTAGTTTTGTCCTGTCTTGTGCTGCTAGTTATGGCAGTGTAAAGAACTGTATAATTTTATTTGACATGATATTTTGTTGGATGCTGTTCGTTATGATAGTTCATTCAGTGTAGTTGTTATTTTTATTATGGGGGTTTCAGCTACAGAATTTAATATTTGCTAACGAAGTGATGTTTACTTTGCCTGTGTCAGCAAGAGTGGTATCTATACATCGAAAGTTAAGTACATAATCAGGAGAGGGAAGCCATACATTTGGGTACCGGAAAACGATTTACATAATGTGGTAAGTTTCCATCCTTTTCTTGTTTTTCTCCTGTTTCTAATTTTCATCCTTTCCCTTGTCTAGAGTAAGAAATGTTAAATTTCATCATATAACTATCGTATTGTTTTACTCTGATTCTCAACAAGCTAGAAACGTCATGTTGCACTGCAAGGGCAACATTAACGAGATTCTTGCACATGAAGGGGGAGGGCTTTAAGAAAAGTATAATGCTGAATTCATTTGCCCTGTTGAGAGTCTGTACTTATTATACCAATCAAATCACCAGAACCATGGGTGTTGATGTGTGAAGGGTAGGATTTACTTAAAAAACGTGTTGGACGTGCTGCTGAATGAGAAAAAAGTTTGAGGAAAAGAGCTTTTCTTTTTTGAAACATTAGTCTTTATTTGGCTAACAGAAAGAATCAATGTTAAATGAAAGCCCGATCTAATTTTCATCAGTAGGAAACCCGTTAGGTTCATGGTTTTCAGGAATGATAATTAAAGTTATAGAAGAATAGTTGGCTGCATGCTAGGAGAGAAAATTAGTTTATTCTCCACTTATCTCTGTAAAATGTTTTCATTTACTTTAGTGAAGAAATTGCATCTGTATGTAATCACAGTTGCAAGGATGATATAATATATTTGTATTTTCTGGCAGAATGCAATGATTGATGAGCGTGGTTCTTTTGCTGTGACCACTCCTTTTCCAGGCCCCCTAGGTGGCTTACTTAAATCATTGAAAAAGGTAGGGTATCATAAATATTGTGTTCATTTGAAACTAATTCTATTACAGTTATATCCATTGAGAAACCGTTGACTCCCAATCATTATCCTCTGCATGAGATGGGTAACAAAAGGCTCCTAGTACTAATAAATCATAATTTAATCTTCTCTATGATTGGAAAAATATGAAGATGTTGACTTATTGATTTATTTATTGACGTGTTCTAGTCACCAGCACGGGTTGCTTTAGTTGGGGATGTTGTTCCACTTAATGAAGATAAGGTAACGTCTCCAAGTGCCCACTCACTTTCATTTTGTCGGGCTCTACAAAGTTTCCACGTCTGTTGCTTGATGAGTTATTGCTCCTTCACCAATAAATTTTAAGGCATTTTCTGTAGAAAAAAACTAAGCTTCATTATCTTTACCACCTGGAGGTCTTCATTATAACCAGTAATATGGCATTGATTGATTCCTCTAAATTGTTAAAGTGGTATACTTATAATTGAACAATGGAACTGATGAAGCTGTGCTCGTGGAAAATGGTGCCTTATAGAGACTGTCATCAATATTTCAGTTACTAGACAGGTTGACTCCCAGATCAGGAGGATCTTAGAAGTTAGGAAATACTTAATTTCATTGCAAATTAACATGGTGGTTCTGCTTGATGAAATCTTTTTATCTTCAATTTTTTTAACAGGACAAGGAAGCTTCATTCATAACTTCCAAATATGATTTACTATAGTTCTAGTATCAAAATCCAACAAGATACAGGCCACATTTTGACAGATACAATTGGAAGTGTCGTGTCTATTAAGTGATCTGCATATATAAACTTTTTTCTGAGATTTTGTGTAATGTGCAATTAACATTTGGATTATACTGTGAAGGATGCACTTTTCTGTTAACGTTAATATCTTTTTACCTTTCACTCGGAAAAAAAAAAAAAATAATGTCTTTTCTACTTTACGTGAAATCAGTAATCAAGAGGATCAGTACTACTAAAACTTCTTGTCAAGCATGGTATGAATATTGGAAAAACGACTTGCTTTAATCTTGCCTACATACTTTGAAGACAATTTTTTTATGAACTTAAATTCATCCTTCAAAATAATAACTGAATATTCTTGGTGTAGGCTAAATCTCTTGCAGAAAAACTTGAGCAAGTTGTAATGTCTGAGCCAAAAGCAATGAAGGACTTCAGTTATGTTGTTTCTGGTGTCCTAAGCTCTAGTCTTAGCCGTGCATCGCGAAGTGATAGTCTTCAAGAAATATTGGGAGATGTAGAAAGATATTCGGTGTATAAATTTGAAATGAGGTAGGAACTTGGGTGCTTACAATTGTAGCTTGACTTTTTTGGCTATGTGATTATAATCATCATCATACTGAATTATAGTATCCTGGACATATTAGTTGGTCACAATCCTGAAATAAGTTTGCCGTGCAAAATATTCCACTCACTGAAAATATGCTCATTATTCTACTAAATTTCTTCATTCTTTATTGTTCACCTCTGCCTCTATCCTAAATTTTTTAGTTTTATTAGTTGTTAAACGGGATGTTTCCTTTCAAATATGATAAATAATCTTAACCTTGACAAGATTTATATCACAAAGTTGAATGATGTAAAAGAATAGGATAGAACTAACAGGGGTTGGGTCTAGTGGAAGGGGTTAGTTCCCTACAACATGATGAACCAAGATTCAAATTCCCGCTAGGAGAGATGCTTGCCCTTAGTGCTAGACAGTGTGTCGAATAGGATTGCCTCCAATAGAAGGATACCTGTGCTTACCAAAAAAAAAGAAAAGAAAGAAAGAATAGGATAGAAGGAAGTTGGAGAAAAATTAGAGGGAACGAGAGAACAGATAGAGAGGAGAGAGAAACTGTAGGAACGGAGAAACTGGAAACTATTCTTCCATTAATTGTCAAAACTGATTTACAAAACTTCTCCTGATAGGATAGGAGGTAACAAGGGTGACTAACACCCCGTGACCTCAATTTATTAATAACTAACGACTGACATTAACTAATACTAATTCACAGACAATTATAATTATCATAACCTTGGAAACCTGTTTAGAGTATAATATATTGCATCAGAAGGATGTTCAAGTCCATGTTTTCATTTTTTGGTGAGACTGTAGAACTAAGCTGTCAGTTTGAAAATTTGGCTCCTAGACAATCAACTGTCTTGCTGCCTACATGTGATGTCCCACATGCCTTTTTACCTGATAAAGTATGATCAGGATATAGAAACAGAATTTTGGAAGTTTCAGATGTCAGTTTCATCTAATAGAAGTTTAGCATGCAGCTCATGCACATATATTGATGGCCATGGAGGAACTTTTGAAGTGAATGTTGAAGATTTGAACACATTCAAAGCTGATCCATTGGGTAAAAGAACTGTTAGGATGCCTGAAACTAGTATGTTTGTGTGTGCAACAAATGAATCACATCTCATATATGTTTTATGCGTTGCCAGCATCATTTTCAGCGAAGCTCATTGATGGGATTAACCAAAGCGATGCTAGGCGTAGAGCTCTTGTGCTTTTCTGTTTGGTCTACATGAATGCCCTTGTAAAGGTAACTTTTTTGTTCTTGTTGTAAATTACTATTTTTTGTCCCTGTAAAATATCCACCCCATTAGTTTACTCCTTGAGAGTTTATGATCGTCGAACTAGTCTGAGTTTTTCAAACTACAATTTAATCCTGTCTGAGCTCTGTTGACCTCATATTGACTTTGCTACTTGCATGAATTCGCTTTTTCTAACCAAACGCTAGGGCTGACGTGAATGGTTAGCAATGCATATGGATGTCTACCAAAAAAAGATGATGCGGCTTTGGGTTTTAATTTGGGAAAATGAAACATTGGCAATACATAGGATCCCTGTCAAAATGCTGCGCTTTTTTTTGGTTGGGAAGCGTCCTTATAGATGCTGACAGTCCACTTCAGCACTAACGTCCTCCATTGGAGAATGATAACCCAAAAGAGTAGCCCTCTTAAAACTAGGTTAATGAAGCTCAGGTTCGTATTCATATTTTTTAAAAGGCGTGGATAAACAATGAGAACATGTACCTTCTTGGGACAGAACTAGGATATCATTCTTGTAAACCGCTACAATTAGTCAATTACCAGCTTGTTGATTATACGTCTGGACTTGTGTGATAATACATTGAGACCGCTTCTGGATAGTAATTTGTTCTGTGCTTCTCATTTGCATTTCTAAAGTATGCTCAATTTAATTAATTATTCAGTGGCATTTCAGAGGCGGAAAAATAAGTGAGTTACAAATTAATTTGTGTAGAATTTAAAATTTGATTGATTTTATATCATCATTTTGCGGTACTGAGACATTTTGATGATGAACATGTCTTGTCTTATAGAATTTCTTTTATCTTCTTTTGGTCTTTCTGGTTTAGCATCATGATCCTTAGACATTAAAAACTTGAATACTGTTCGTTCTGAATCCATCATCTCTTGACATCCTTAAAACCTACAATCATCTTCCATATCTTGTTCATCAATGAAACCACACATGACAACAATCATTTTGCCAAATTTAAAAGTAGTGCCTCTACAGCTGAGGCTAATTTCTTACTGAAGCTATTCACTGATCTTCTGTTGATGTGTCACGGCCATTGTGATATTCTTACTGAAGTATTGAATCCAATTGACTAATCCATTGGCATTTTATCAAGGATGCATACGTAACATCAGTGGACCGCAAGGGATTCAGTGTGCTTGGAAAGCTTCCTGATCCTGTTTTGGAGGATGGCAGTGGTCACTACAATTGGAAAGAATACAGGTTTATGTTAAAGGAAGAAGCGAGTGATGTTGAATCATTTTGTCGTCAACTAGTTGAAATGGAAGAGGAGACCATCAAAAAGGTTTCAAGCTTCAGTGGACTAACATGAACAAGGGTGGCTTTATCCCAGCAAAAGAAACAAAAGTGGACACTCTTTCATTAATCATATTCATTTGTGGTCAAATTTCTTTCACGCCCTTGTATCAGATATACTCATGGAAGCCACATGAGGGAATTGTAAATCCTGAGTATTGAGGGATATTAATTATCATGCTGTGTATGTTTTGTACTGTCACAGACCAGTTGAAGCTGTAGAAGGGACTCGTAGTGCCACCTCGCCTCCTTACGGGGGAGTTCGTGGATGCACTAGAGGCGAAAGGGGCTAAAATAATAGATTTTGGTGATGAGGATAATTTTTTATTCATAAGGTCATTTTCCATCTTTTTATTTAATTTTTTATTATTTTCTATTCCATGTATTCATTGCAGTGGTTGGTTTATAAAAATCTGGAATTTTCCACATATTAAAAAAATTCAATATTTGTTCCCAGGGTAAGTATAATAAACTTGAATATATATATATATATATATATATATCAAGCGAAATCTTTCTTATTATAAATGGGTTTCGTGCTCCAAAAATTATGATACAACTCACCAGGCATCAAAAATAAAAAAAATAAGTAGAAATTTTTTTTGATATTTCACAGATAATATCGCAGAAACATGGGTGTGGATAGGATATGATATTGTTTTATAGATTAAAACCTATTTGGCACCTATTTCAAAACAATCAAATTTGGTTCGGTTGGTAAGGAGTAAATTCATAATTCACGAGGAAGTGTAACTGCTCTAGAATATATAATTTTGATTTATACCCTAGCAAATTGTCAATATCTTTTCAAATCAACCCTTAAATGTTTAAATTCAAGTATAAATTTCTTTGAAGATATAAAAATTTCCTCCTAAAATATTTTCTGGAAAAAATTAAATATATTTTTATTAAGATCTTTCGGTGTAGAATGTAAATAGTAACTCAACAAAATTCAACTGTAAAAAACCACATCAATTACTATTTTAAAGAAATTTTACATTCATAAAAAAAATATTTTTAAAGAAAAAATATGTTGATTGAAAATATTAATAAGAAAAATATTTAGATCTAGTTTCTTACATCCATTATGTCAAATTCTCTAATTATATGTAGTCATGTCTCTTTCTTTTTTATGTTAATTTATAATTAAATGATAATATTTAGAAAATAGAACACATTTTTACTCAAGATTACCACATCTTAAAGAATTGATTGTACATGCTTGATTGCTAAAGAGGAAAAAAAATATCAACTTTTCAAAACGGGTTTTGGAAAATCATTTTTGAAGGTATCTATCTTTTTTTTTTTTAATTTCAATTTAGTGGCTATGTATTTTTTTTCCCTCTTAATTAAATCTGTAATTTTGTTCTATTAACAATTTAACATCGTTAACTCTCACATAATCAGTGAGAGCTCAAATAAATCCATTTAAATCTAAATAAGCGATTGTGATGGATGTTTATTTTGTTTGGGTAATTTTATAAAATTCTGATAAATCATGATTTCATTCTTTCGCCACACTATTAGGATAAGCACCAAGGATTAGCTTATAGGCTTGAAAAATCCCGATCAATTTTTATCAACTGAATTTTCTTCAATTTACCTTTCAGCATTCTTTCAAAAATCTCTCTCCAAATGACTATATTTAATAATATTTATTAAATTCATGTCTTTTTTATAATTATACAATCATAAGTGATTTTAATAAATGAAAATCAAATATAATCACAATTCTTAAAGTTACTTATAAAAGAGATATATTCAAACAAAAATTACGATTAACCAATATCACTTATAGCTAATATTACTTATAAAATTTACAATTATCTAAAATCATAGTTGTTTACCGCTAATGTAGATGGGCACAAAGACTAAAGATGCTAATAAAACAAAGTTATAAGAGCTAATATTATTTAAAAAGATGAAATTAAATAATTTAATTAAAAGGAAAAAAAATGCATTGCTACCAAATTAAAAATATGGTTTTCTTCCTGTTTTTTAACGAGTTCACCAATCTTCTTATAATCTACCGCACATGAATGTTCTCCTGGGGATCTCTGTTTCCCGCAAAACAAATCTCCGCATGGACACATGAATCCTGTTACTCCAATCCTTTTGTTGCAACCTTTGCGCCTCTTTTCCTCTGGAAATTCATTCAATTTTTCTTTTCTTTCTTTTTCCCCCATCTTTTTCAGTGTCATTTTTTCATCGTTTGCTTTGTTTGTTTATTGCTTTTTGAAATAATTTAGAAAATGCTATAAAATATTTTGATAGATTAATGAATAAAATAGCATATTTATTACAAATTACAAATTTTATCTTGACATATTTTTTTGGACCGAAAATTATCTTGACGTATCGGTTAATAGACATTTTATTAATAAGATATTTAAGACCGGAAGAGTATCAAATATTCTAATATTTAGCTATAATATTTAGTTATTCGGAGAATATTTTAAGTTTAGCCATTTAGATGAACTCAATCAAATTTAACAAATATAATAACATGACAATTGTAAATTTGATATTTGAAACATAAGATAATACCGCTTTCGAAATATCTTAACTATAATTATAATAGTGTATTGATCATCTTTCCTGATGATTGGATTATGGCTTCGAGCTTGTTTGCTACTTGGTAATAAAACTCATCACCCTTTTCCAGGCTAACGTACCGTTAAGTGGTAATAAAACATGTTCGCATCTCATTATCAAGTAGCACCTGAATATAAAACGTAATTAAATAAAGACCAGATTTGCATTCAACGGGTCACAGGTGACAACGATAAAACCTCTTAGCACTTGCGTTACAGAGCGATTCAAATCCGAGATCCCAAATTAGCAAAAAAATTTCGATGTTAATTGCACAAAATGATACAGCGAGGCAAACACAACATCGCACAAAATGCTCCTGTATTTCACTTAATAATCGAAGTTTTCCGACTGTTCGATGAAAATAACAAATCGACAGAACTAAAGAAGGGAAGCAATTAAAACCTAATGCGGCTAAAGTCTAATAATAATCAGAACAACCCAAGTCGGGCCGAAAAGGAACCACCAACATCCCCAGACGACACACCATAACCAGCCACTTAATCGACCTCCTCAATTTTGGGGCCAGCGCCACTGCCACCAGATGGGCGAGCATCATCTTCATCCATGCCACCGGCAGCATCAGCTCCACCTTGGTACATCTTGGCTATGATTGGATTGCAGATGCTCTCCAGCTCCTTCATTTTATCTTCAAATTCGTCAGCCTCTGCCAGCTGGTTCGAGTCTAGCCATTGAATGGCCTGCTCAATTGCATCCTCAATCTTCTTCTTGTCATCTGCCGACAGCTTTGAACTGATCTTCTCGTCCTTGATGGTGTTCCTCATGTTGTAGGAATAGTTCTCCAAGGCGTTCTTGGCTTCAACCTTCTTCTTGTGCTCCTCATCTTCTGCCTTGTACTTCTCTGCTTCCTGTACCATCTTCTCAATTTCCTCCTTCGACAGTCTCCCTTTGTCGTTAGTAATGGTAATCTTGTTCTTCTGTCCGGTGGTTTTGTCCTCGGCAGAGACGTTCAAGATACCGTTGGCATCGATATCAAAGCAAACAGTGATCTGGGGAACGCCCCTTGGAGCTGGAGGAATTCCTGAGAGCTCGAACTTGCCCAACAAGTTGTTGTCCCTTGTTCTCGTTCTCTCACCCTCGTAGACTTGAATCAAGACACCGGGCTGGTTATCTGAATAGGTGGAGAATACTTGCTCCTTCTTGGTTGGAATGGTGGTATTCCTAGGAATTAATACAGTCATTACTCCTCCGGCAGTCTCCAACCCCAAGGAGAGTGGAGTGACGTCAAGCAGCAACAAGTCCTGAACCTTCTCATTACCTTCACCACTCAAGATAGCGGCTTGGACAGCTGCACCGTAGGCAACGGCCTCATCAGGGTTAATGCTTTTGCAGAGGTCCTTGCCATTGAAGAAATCCTGCAAAAGTTGTTGCACTTTGGGAATTCTGGTAGAGCCACCAACAAGGACCACATCATGAATGCTGCTCTTGTCCATCTTAGCATCTCTAAGACACTTCTCCACAGGCTCCATACACTTCCTGAACAGGTCCATGTTCAGTTCCTCAAACCTAGCACGGGTGATTGTTGAGTAGAAGTCGATACCCTCAAACAAAGAATCAATCTCAATTGTAGTCTGGGCAGTGGAAGAGAGCGTCCTCTTTGCCCTCTCACATGCGGTTCTCAACCTCCTGAGGGCTCTTGGGTTTCCACTGATGTCCTTCTTGTTCTTTCTCTTGAACTCTTGAACAAAGTGGTTCACCATTCTGTTATCGAAATCCTCTCCTCCAAGGTGAGTGTCCCCAGCAGTGGCTTTAACTTCAAAGATACCCTCCTCAATGGTGAGGAGAGAGACATCAAAAGTACCACCACCGAGGTCGAATATCAAAACATTCTTCTCACCAGAACTTGTAGCTTTCTTGTCAAGCCCATAAGCAATAGCTGCAGCGGTGGGCTCGTTTATAATACGCATAACATTTAGTCCAGCAATAACACCAGCATCCTTGGTAGCCTGACGCTGAGAGTCATTGAAGTATGCGGGAACAGTGACAACTGCGTTCTTGATTGTTGACCCAAGGTAGGCCTCTGCAATCTCGCGCATCTTGATCAAAACCATGGACGAGATTTCCTCGGCGGCAAATTGCTTCTCCTCACCCTTGTAATTAACGACAATCATTGGTTTTTCACCGGCGCCAGCAATGACCTTGAATGGCCACAACTTCATATCACTCTGCACCGAAGGGTCACTGATTCTCCTACCTATCAACCTCTTGGCATCTGCAAAATGACGATTACCACGGTTACTTACCAAACAATAAAATGGAAAAACAAAACACTCTTCCATAAGTATTCATTCATACACATTAGAGTAGAACTATACAAAAACAACAACTTAAATTATTCTCGATTCGGATCAGCTCAGCAAAACTTATGTAATGTCAGAAAAATAATCAACCAAGCTTCAGAGCACAATAGAATAAAATAGTTGAATATCTCAACCAAAATTTACACATTACAATCAAACAAGAGAGGATAAAATAAGAAGATATTGACAAAAGACAACTAAGGAAGTAGAATGAGCAGATCTAATTCTACACCGACCAAAAATCTTGGATTAGATACAGAGGAATAGCAAACAAGATGTAAACAACGTAGCAAAACGTGATGCAGAAATACAGAATGCTAAAACGCAAATCAAGCATATCAGTATATGGAAACAATAAGCTCAAATAAGAAGGCCCAAGTCCAAAATAGATATAAAAAGCCAGATCAAGAACGACTACAAGAT